TAAAACAAGTTAAGATTAAAATTTATATACTTTTCGGGAATATACTTAGTATATTATGTTTAAACGGCTTGTAAGTCAACAACAAGCTGTGGTATATATGACTAAAAGTACTTGTAATAAATTTTAAATTTACTTACTTCATAACTCAAATAAATATTGATTTAAAATTTAAAAAATAAACAACTAAAATGTATCTAGTTTTAAAACATTTTTGTATTAAAATTTTAACTTAAACATTTATTACGTGCACATAACAATTTTAATTGAACTAAAATAAACTATCTCTCAAATATTGAATCAATAAAATGTGTATTGCTATTAAAAAAGTTGTATTGACGAACGAAATACAGCTTTTAGAGATATAATTAAAAACAAATATAGATATATTTTATTTGAAATTCTATAAAAACTATTTTTACATTTTCTTTTTGTTTCCCACGTTTATTGTATCAGAGATTCCTTGATGCAGAATCAGCGATCACAGTAATAACATACTGTATATAAAACTAGGTCGAAAGATTTCAAATTGCCCTATTGATATCTGGCAGTGTGAGTGATAAGTGCATAAAATTGCCCTAACAGCCGCCAGCACTCTTGACCCACTGAGCTGACTCAATTAGATTCAGTACAATCATCATTGGTGTGATTGAAATGCATTATATTGATATATAGGATATCATTTAATACATAAATATTAATAATACTTCAATCATTACTATAAATACGATGATCATATTTGAAAGAAATTTGGTCAAATAATTTTTGGTAAGTTGATATTTGAAATTCTATAAAATACTTATTAACCCTAGAAAGATAATCATATTGTGTAGTACTAAAAAGATACTCATGCGTAAAATTGACGCATGTGTTTTAATTAGCTGTAAGTTGGGGTTTATTAATTTATTTGAATAAAATCGTGTCTTATATACATTAACATATATATTTGAATAATTAAAACTGCAGATAATTTATTTCTAAACATTTTTTATTAAAAATAAACTCAAAACTATAATCTTCTTCTATAAATCAAATAAATTTTTTAACACTTACATTTTCCATCACAAATTATTTTTAACTATAATAATAATCAACCTTTTTTTTTCACAAAATCAACAATAGGAATATCTTATACATAATATTAGGAAAATATTAAAGATGTTATCACGCAAATATCTTTTCAAAGTAGCAGTTTCTAACCGCTTTCGCATAAATGGAGAAGACAGACCCAAGCTAAGATTCTTCATGAAATTTTTACGACTTAGAGGGTTTTTTCCGTTGTAATGAACATTGTGGTTATTAATTATATATGAGTTTATGCAGGCAATGTTTACCACTCGATACAACAAAGCCATAGGCCATCTATTTGTTTTCCTACTACAGGACATCAGAGAACACATTTAGTCGAGTGTGTCTACTCTGCCTTCTGTTTGATTATAATACATAACCATTTCTGGTTTACCAGTTACTTCAATGATAGTAGCATCCTCATCACAAGACGATTATAAGTAAACCATTCTTGCCGTTTTCGCTTTATATGAGACGAGAGTAAGGGGTCCGTCGAAACAAAACATTGATATTGTTTGTTCAGTGGTGCTTGGCCCATCTAAGGTTATGCTTTCACTTGAAGTTGGCTGTTCTTCTTCTAAATCATCTATAAAAGCCTCTTCTTTGTCGCTCTGCACGTCATCTTCACTCTCATGGTTCGCAACTTCACTGTCGGTATACTCACAGGGAATCTCGTCGTCACTTTGCATGAGACTGGCCAGGATATGGTCTTCGTCTAAGTTTCTATTTCCCATCGTTGCTTTAATATCTATAAAAAGAAACTAGTAATATAAATAATGATATACAGTTATAAAAACATTAAAAATAGAAAAACAAATTGTACAAGTCAAAATCATAAAAGTCACATACAAGATAATCATGCGTAATTTTGACGCATGTGGTCGTTTTATTTCAAAATCGGTTGGACTTACCTTAAGTCCACGTGCACCATGCGGAAGCTCCCAGCGACGTATGAGATGTCCTAAACACACAGCTATGGATTCGCGTTATTTAGGAAGAGAACGCTATATTTCGCAAACGCATGCGTTAATTTTACGCAGACTATCTTTCTAGGGTTAAATTGGGACAGTAAAAGGAAATGTTAATGCTCAAAGCTGTATCACAGACCACTAGCTTCCCCTTTTAACATTTCTTATTGAAGTTTAAAAATAAATAAAGGATATTTTTTTATTCCGTAAACCCTTTCAGAACTCTCAGTATTCCGATATATGAAGTTAATTGGTTTATAACAGCAGCTGTTAGAGTATTTAATACATATAACAAGAAATCTTTTCAATTAAAAACTTAAACCCAATTCTTCGGCTCTTGCATTGAGGTACGAATATACTAAGGCTCAGTTGCACCAAACTCCGTTTGTTAAATCTAAACAAGGCATTTACTAACGAACCTTCAAAAATATAATTGTCTGTTAAAATATCTACGTCCCACGATGAAAAATTAACAACGCTTTATTAAATGTCATGTTAAATTACCGACTGCCAAATTATTCGTTCTTATTGATTGGTGAAACTTGGTTTAGATCATTTCGAGCTTAGACCATAAATGATTAAACTTTATCAAAGAAATAAAACGATGAAATAAGTAATGAGTAAATATACTTTTATCAGTGATATAACAAAAAACAGTGGGCTTATAATATATATAAAAGTTTATAAATATATGTACCGGGATAGGAAAAAGATTGAGATCAAAAAAGGCGAATGATTAGAAGAGATGTTCTGTTACATCAAAATGGTTTCAGTAATACAGTTTCCTATGTTTTAACATGTTTGTAACCCTGGCTGCGGTTGCAATAACAACCTAATATCAACTTCAATTTATATTGATCAATAATATTTCAATCCATTTAAACTACACAATTATATAGAGCTTGACTGAGAAATGTTAAAGTAATAATCTGACGACAGATATTATATATATATATATATATATATATATATATATATATATATATATATATATATATATATATATATATATATACATAATGACGTCACAATTGGTAAACTTCCTCTTAGATCAATGAACCAGCGCTACGTAGAAATATTTTCACGATAAAATATGAAAACATGCAAACAGATAGTGTACGTACATACATAACATACTTCCAGAAATTATGATTGTTCAGGGATCAGAACGTTTGTGCATTCATTTGTATATGAAGGTATTTAAGTAAATTATTACAAATGTTATTAAAAATTCAAGGAATAACAACTTGTATGTAAGATATGAAATTATTTGCAGTGAAATAATTGTTTTATGCAATGTTAAATAAAACGTTGCGTATGTACGTAGATAATAGATTTGATCTAGAGCATTTTATGTACATTATTATATAAGAAATATATATATATATATATTTCTTGTATATACAGGGTGACTGGTGAATTACTATCGATATTTAATGACGTGATATTTGACGATCATATATGACAAAATAAAAATTAATATAACATAAATATTAATAAACTTCTAAGTAAAGTTAACCAAAAGTTATGTAATTAATTACGCACAATATGAACACCCTACAGATTAGGTATACACACACACTCACACAGACGCGGCGGCGGCGTAGTGTTGTATCAGCACGCCGCCGCACGCGTCCACACATTGGAACACTTGGAACGTATCCACACTTTATTTATTTATACGGAAATTTGGTCAAAAATTAAGTACCTATTTTTTTTACATAATTCGAATGAGAATCATGTACCGAGTATGCTCCTTAAATATTGATAGTAATTCACCAGTCACCCTGTATATGTTTCAACAGGTAAGTACTTTAATATTTAAATTGAACTTGAAAAGATGTGACCATCTTGTCTTTATAATCACGGTTGTTGAAAAGTAACCTAAACGTCGAGAGTATATAATTTTTTACAAAAATAAAGCACTCGTAGTATATACGCAAAATATTAGTTTCATTAAGTGCTTTAATAATTTATATGAGTACTATGATTATCAATTAATGGAAGTACCTACTAACATCATCCTAACAGATCACTCCGTAGTCATGCATAATGAATGGTACGAAATGCGTGGATTTAATTCGCTAAAAACAAAAGTATATGAGAAATTTGTATATACAGATATATTTTAGTAGTTTAACCAAGTTGGTATTGTTTTACTAATAGTGTGGCTAAGCGAAATTCTATTAAACATTTTGAGAAATTTTATTAAATCAATCTTATTTTTAAAGTAACAAAACATCGATATTTTGAATATATTTAAAACAATTGTAACATTTTATATCCAATCACTATTTGTAACAACTATTTTTGATTAATACAGACAGACAATTATATATAATATAACATAGATTTAAAATATTATAACCAACAAGAAAACCAATAATAAATATTACTTTTAAAGAATTCGTTCCAGAAAACACTTGCATGTATCTTCAATAGAACAGATATTAATAAAGCTTCTATATACAATATACATATATTGACCTAAACTAATACTTCCTCTCGTCTAAACGATATAAAATAACAAATGATATTAAAGAATAAAAAACATAATTTGACAGAAGATAAGATCATTAGCTCCTAATAATCTTGGTGATAATAAAAATAATGTAACTTATTATTTCATTTAACAAATCTAATATAAACTTGAATGAAAACAAAAAGTTTTTTCATTTAAATTTTAACTGAATTCAGCAACCCTTTTCACGGATTACTATAAAATTCATCATTTTGTTAATGAATATTTAAACTACTCCCGCTCGGTACAGGGAATATTTTTTAATGTGTGTAAATATTGAGTATGATGTCTATGTGTGTGTGTGTGTTTATATCGTCAGGTTAGGTCCACCAGATCACCTGTTATGAGCCGAACTATCAACTTAGCGGTCTCAGAGACCGGTTGATATCTCATCGTTCTATAGCAGAGGACTCACAGACCGTCAGTCAGCCGCCGTCTGCACAACAATGCGCCTGCACATAGCTATACTACTGCTTACCCTGCACTGTAAGTTGCGTTGCGATTAAATTTCATATTTATAATATTAAAATTCCTTTTTTTATGCGAATTTTTAAGCTTTGCTGATAGTAATTCTTATATTTTTATATTATTATTATTATATTTATTTCTACGTAGTTGTTTGTATATTTTTTAATATATTTAATGTTTGTTTTATATTATATAACATTTAAATTCTCACGTCAACTTTAAGCGGAAGAAAATTTTATAGGAAATATTTGCTTCATTTAAATTGGCTTTATAAATACGTTCTATTCATATATATAGTTTGTAGGCTTAAAAATATTGTTTTAGATATACTTCTAATAAGCCAAGTGTCAAGTGATAATGATATGAGCAGTAAACGTGCGATATAAAACATGAATTCAATATTAGTATCATAATAATTATTACAACTATACATGGATATAATATTATACTACAATTGTAGTATATTTCATTGTTTAATTATTAACTATAGTTTTCAAACAAAATCGTTATTTGATGAGGAAATAAGACGCAAAACATCAAGTCAATCTATTTAAAATAACATTAGATATTCAGCGGCAAGCAGTCATTTTTATTAATTTCGTATATAAATATAAATAAATCCAAGCTTTATATATAATACACTAATTGAAACGCGTCTGTCTGTCTATTTTTTGTTCTACATAGATAGATACCGTAATGTACCTTTAGTGATGGAAATAAACCGTCGTAAAACAAAAAAATGTTTATCTGAAAAACATTCGTAAATATGTCAATACATATAATCGGTCATACAAAACGGCGACACAAAAAAAAAATTAACTACATTCGAGCATATCATATTATAACAGAGATAACTGTTTTATGGACAGTTAAAAATTGTCTTTTAACGGAAACAGAGATAAGGACATCCTAATGCGAAAGAACGTAACCATTATATTAAAATTATATTATAATAATAATATTTAGACACCACTGACATACGGTGAAGGAAACCTGGACTTATAGTTTCATAATTATAAGTGAGAAATCACCAACGCGTCTTGAGCAAGCGTAGTGATTAATCCTCAAATCTTCTCCATGTGAGAAGACACTCAGCAGTGGGCTCTGTTAGGCTGATGATGTTATATTAATTATTGAATTTGTACAGATCTGGCAGAAGCATGTGAGCCTGAACAGGCGCAGAACGGCTGCAAGATATATGGAGCGGCCTGTACGTGTGGATACGGGTGTAAGACCGAGTATATCTACAGAACCAGGAGATCATGCTTGAATGCTCTGAGAGGTATTTATAAAAATTATAAAGTCACAGGACAATAGACGATCATAATATATATTATTGATGCCATCATATATTAAAGATTAGTTTTTGCCCGCAATTTGTCTGCGTTAGCTTCAGAATTAGAAATGTATATTGGGCGAACTCTATTACTCCTTAAAGTAGATAAGAATATTTCGGATTTGTATAATTTATTGTTTGTTTTTTCAATCGTATGAAAAGTATCCTATGTCCTTTTTATGTTCTAATCTATCTTTCAACCAATTTCCAACAGCTTTCTTGAGTTATAAATAGTGTAACTAACACGACTTTCTTTTATTTAAATACATTACAATATTGTTTATTTCACATGAACAATCTCTTAACATTAAGTTCTTTAATTATGTATAATGCTCAAGCTATAGAAATGAAGCCAGTGATTTTTTACATCAAATATATGAATTATCAGATGCTGATCCAAATAAAATATACAATCAAATTAGAAATTAAACTACTACTAGTAGTATTATAAGTATGTATTCATTTGTTTTAGTAGTACTACTTATTATCTTTTTCTTATACATTTAAATCATGTAGTGTGAGAATATTATACTGAACTATGTAAAAAGAGATTTGTGAATGAACGATATCGCGAGTGGAGACAAAAAACTTGAAACTTAAATTTGACGTAATGAGAACTAATACTTTCGCGAGCATTCATTTAAATGTAACTAATATTCTTCCAAAATAAACTATGCGTGATTTATTTTTCACATTTCGTCGTTATGATCATGGTTGCTAAAAAGTAACCGAAACTTCAGGAGTATGTAGTTTTTTACAAAAATAAAGCACGCGTTGTATATCCGAAAAATGTTAGTTTCATTTAACGTTTGGCGTGTTTTACAAAAGGGAAACTTGTTTAAAATATGACAGACATGAGGCAGTGCTGCAAAGACCTGTATAGTATATTATAATATAAAGGTACGAGTTAATCACTTAAAAATTAATTTAATAAAACTTATACGACATATTTATTCATAAATATATTTTTCTTTTTTATATGAAAGCTATATTTTTATAATTTCAATCAACTTAAAATATTATAATATCCAATTATAGTTATTAATAACACTGAACTCAATTATAAAATATCGTATGAATACAAATGTGTCTCTGAATTCGCCACAAGTCCTGATTTAAAATCGCCATTTTATTTTTGTATCACCGGACTCGCCACAGGGAATAAATGGACACAGGTAATCCCATATTACATTTAGGTACCTGTTACAGGCTTACAGAAATTGAAATTTCTCTTAGCCTGTAACACTAAGAAGGATTTACGCATATTTTTTTATAGAATAGCTTTAAAACTTTTATACTTTATTTTATTTTCGACCAAATAAACATTCAAATTATATAATAATAAATAAACGATATATTTGTTTCAATAAATAAGGCAAATTCGTTCTTAACATCAGAGTGGCGCCATCTATGATCGCGCTAATAAAACTGTTTGTCAACAGAGCGCAGCTCAAATGTTTGCTCCAGGATGCCTTGTATGAGAGGCATCTGTATACAGACGGTTCAAGATCCAGGATTCACGTGCAAGTGCGAGGGGACCGGATATTACGGACAGCGATGTGAAAAAGGTACTAACATTAAAAGTTAGATGGCGCTAAAAATAGTCATTGATTTTTCTCTATGTGATTAATTTGTATGCCATAATTAATATATATTGATACCATACCAATTTGTTGCTTAATAAATATTCCCTTTTCTATATATTAAAGCCATTTTGTTATATTGTTTCAGCTTGTCCGACGGCTGCATGGCGTGGACTGGTGTTCCCTCACGAATGCGTTGTTATTTAAAAAACAGATATACGACCTACAAATATTTATTTAGACTTAGTTGTTGGTACACAATTCACAGATATTATGTCATAATTAAATAATAATTGTATTAACTGCCATCGTATCCGTTACTTTTTAATTATAATTTGAAATACATGCATATGTTAAAAGTATTTTTGTTTATTAGTTATTAAACCCAAAGAAATTATATATTTTTTATTTTTGTTACACATAGTATTAAATATTACATAAATTAATTTAAGGCATAAATCAGGTACAATATATTTCAACAAATATATCGCCGGATTGTGGAATTTAAAAATCTGAGAATAGTGTTGTAGCCTTTCTTAAAATAAGAATCGATATCGACACTCGATATTTGTGACGATAAATCTAATCACTAACATAACATACTTTGCATTTACCCATTTCTTATATTACTTGTTTATTTAGTTATACTAATATCTCGATAAAAATTTATTGGTAATATTAAGCACAATAAAATAATTATTTTAATATCTGTATTTAAAATACTTATATTTTCCCGCCAATTGGCCCCCAAATACCAACTAAGCAAATCGTAAGTATTGATTAACATATACTTACTCTAAAATTGCCAGTTTAAAAATAGTAAATACCCAATTATCACTAATTGTTTTATTTAAGACATACTAATATATATCTTACAATATTACCAAAAACTTAAAAAAATATAAAGGCATTTTCATGCAGTATCTAATAACTTAAAAAATCTTTTTGTTGTTATATTATTAATGGTTAGGCATTTGTAATTAGTCAGTTTATAAGGACAAATAATTTAGAATTTACGTAATAATTTATAATATTTTTTACCAATATATCAATAGTCTTCTTGTTTAACTTCTTGGTGTAACAACACAGAACAGAACCGATCAATAATTCCTTTTCAAGCTGACGATGGGCGTCTCGGCAGTGCTGCGTCTACCTCCTAACATTTGATTATTATTTTTCAGTTTTATTTTGTTTCAATGTGTATTATTTTATTGTTTTTGGACCGACGGACGGTAAGTCTTTTCATTTTATTACATATATTGGAGCGTAATGTAATTATATAAATACTAAAAAATCAATAGCTATATAAATTAAAAATATATTTTTTTATTGGTAAACAAGTTATAATTAGTCGAACTTTTAAAATTTATAATATTACAATAACACGAATTTGATATATGAGTACACTAGGCTTTAAAATTGGGTATTACCAGTGTATTGATGTTTATGAAATAAACAATATATATAAAATATCCAATTAGTACCAATCTAAAATTAGTACCAATTCAAAAAAACAATTATTTTAAATCATCTCATACACAATAAAAGTGAATATATTTCTGAAATCAAATATCAGTCATATGAAGTCAAGTGAAGTTTGTGTTGATAAGCAATAAAAAACTATTATTGTAATAATAATGGCAACCAAAAATCTTTCATCTTATTATTCTGTTGATCTTGATGTCATTAAAAAGCGTAGGTAAGTACCTGACTACCTGACCAGGTACGTAGGTAGGAAATAGCAGCCTTGGTGTCTCGTATCTAATTATTTTCTGGCTGGTGACTTTTTAAATTTAAGTACTGCCAGATACAGCACAAAAAATATATTATAATCTATCAAAATCACTGTTTTAGAATTCTATAAACTGTTATTTTACAAAATATTATGAATATTAGCAAATCTTGAATCTAAATAACAATGTATTATATGATTAATTTATTATCAAATTGTAACTTCTAAAAGATGTACATAATAATATAAATAGCTTGAGAATCAACATAAATGACATCCAAATAATTTTGGAACATTTATTACATAAAATATATATTTTGTGACGAAGTTAATATATTTATTAATAATAATATTTGCAATAAAACTGGTGCAAATTTAAATTATTAAAATCTCGTCATGATTTTTTACTATAATTATCCTATCATAGGCTCAATCAAGATATTCTATAAATCAATTAAATTGTTTTTCTGATTAAACAATAAATAATAGGAATCTTGAAATTTATATTTTCCTCAGAATATGACATATTTTTAGACGGCAACACTGAAATCTTCTGCATTATGCAGCGCAGCTACCTACTAAATATGTATTGATTAACTGCCTCTGCCTCAAAAGAGCCTTTTGTGTCGATTGTACAGTGAATTACAATTATCATTTTCGGACATAAATCTTTTAGAAATTTTTAAATGAATTAAGTGTAGTGCTTCGATTGAGACCTGAAGATTCTTATATTATCATTTCATTATATTATCATTTCATAGGTTTATTTAAAAAAAGTGAGTGGTATTATATTTCTGTAATTACTAAGCAATTTTTATCGTATATAGACCAATAACGAAACTGTTATACTAAATGAAAACTAAGACAAAGAAGCATTTGAAATATTAGTAAAAAATCTGTAATCTGCATCGTAATATGTTTAGTACGTCGGTACGAAGTATATATATAACTACAATTTCTAGATAGGTATTATTACATATTAAAGACGATTAGAGTGTGTTATTTTAAATTGCAATGTAATTATCTTAAAATTTCTAGATATTTGGTTTCATTTCCATCTTATTGTACGAGGATGACATGACATTGTTTAAACTATCGAGTTCCAGATTACCGATAATACGGAGACGTTAGAAAGCTATTTGTTATTATTTAATGATTACTGTTACACAATCCGAGTGTTCTATATAAGTTGACCTAAAGATAATAGTTATATACAGTCATATATGACTATTAACAAAAACAAAATGAACTAAACATAATACATTTATGTATATATAAGGCTTCTAAAGACATTTTCCGAATATAATTTCGCTCACCTTGTAATCTTTCAACGATATCTTGAGCTTGTTTATAGTTTTCATTACTATTTCAATAAACATACTTTTAGAATGGCGTGGACAGGATACCAGAAGTTTCTAGCACTAGTCATGGTAGTTACTGGGTCTATTAACACCTTGAGTACCAAGTGGGCAGATAATCTTGATTCAAAAGGTTCCGATGGGATAGTACGCACATTTCAACATCCATTCTTACAGGTAATACAGTTAATTTGGCAAAAGTAACACTCCTATGATTTCTATATGTATGAAGTTAATATATTTCTATTTTAGGCTTTGTTTATGTTTTTCGGTGAAATGATGTGTCTTTGGACTTTCAAAATAGTTTATTGGTGGAATAGAAGGAGTGGTACAGAAAGCCAATTGACTCAAGGCAGCCAGGACTTTAACCCATTCATATTAATGCCCGCGGCTATGTTTGATTTGGTATGTTAGTTTCTTATACAATACATCTTTACCAAATACCTTATGTTTAAAAAATCCAAATAAAAGTCCTCTATGAACGAAATATCTTAGTTTAATCAAATTTAAATGTATATAAATGATATTTATACAATATTTTTCCGTAGATTGGTACATCAATCATATACATCGGTCTGACCCTCACATACGCCAGCAGTTTCCAGATGTTCCGTGGTTCAATCATTGTGTTCGTAGCTCTCTTCTCAACGATATTACTCGATAGAGTTATTAAAAGACGAGAATGGATTGGAATATGTAAGTTGACACTTATTTTTCTGATCATACTTATTTTATAAATGCTAAACTTTGCATGTATGTATGTTTGTAGCTCTTAACAAAAACAACTTAATGGATTTTTGTGAAGGTTTACAGAAAGAGATTAATCTATAATTTTTAAACAGAAATTTAAGCAGACAAAGACGAATGCAAAAACTTGTCTATCATAACATAATTCCACAAAGTTTGTATACATTTTTAATTATAAATAGACAAGCAGTTCAAATATCATTTGTTTAATAAATGCTTTGGGAATGTTTGGGCTGTTCTCAGATGTCATTCAAAACATGCTTTGGTATTATAAATACTTCAAATACAAATATACATACAATCTAATACGTAATGTAGGTGTGTAGGTGTGTTTGTTATCTTATATATATTAACAACTATACTAAATATATCTACTAGTTTCTGCCCGCGACTTTGTCCGCGTTAATTTCGCCATCAGAAATATATATATAGTTGAACGGGAAAATTCTATTAATTCACTTTAGTCCACAAATAACCAGATATTGGAATTTATTGTTTTTTTTTTCTCTTTTTCCATCAAACAGAATTAAATATCCTATGTCTGTCTCTTGCTTCTAATCTATCTCTCCACAAATTTTCAACCATATCCATACAGCTATTCTTGAGTTATAAGTAGTGTAACGGACATAACTTTTTTTTATATATATAAAAAAGAAATAAGATAATATTTCCGTTCAAAAACCAACAATGAAATACAGTAATCATCAATATTATGAACACAATACCATTACTCATCAACACATGTTTAAATTGAGAGCGATCAAATAATGTTTAGTCTTTGGTGACTCATATTACAAATATAATAATATGTACAGTTGTATTTTATTAAACGGCATTATATACTAGGTTCTGTGACCTTTGGTCTATACAAATATTGCATGTAATTCTACATTTCTATAGGTTTATATGTAATAATTTCTTATTAACTTGAAAAATTTGGTTTCAGCTCAATTAATCTTGGGTCTGGTAATAATTGGTGCTACCGATGCTATCTATCAATCTCCCGATGACTCTAAAGGTAGAAACAGCATGATAACGGGTGACTTATTGATAATTCTGGCCCAGATTATACTCGCTTGCCAAATGGTTTACGAGGAGAAATTTGTATCTGGTATGTGTTTGCTACAAACATCGAATTAATTTATTACCAATGATATAGGAAAAAATTGAATTAAATTTATTTTAAAGCTTTTATATTAATATTTTGTGTAACCAGGTCTCAATATACCTCCATTACAAGCTGTCGGTTGGGAAGGTGTTTTTGGATTTTCAATGCTATCGTTTCTATTGGTGATATTCTACTTCATACCAGCCCCACCACACTTTGACAACAACGCTAGGCATACCGTCGAGGATTTCATTGATGGGTTGGTGCAAATAGGTAAGTTATCATACTAATTAATAGTTTTCCACATATTATGTAGAATATGTTACTTATAAGTATCATTTTCTTGAAGGTAACAACTCACTTCTACTGCTAGCTATAATGGGAACTGTAGTTTCCATAGCGTTCTACAACTTTGCTGGGATCAGCGTAACAAAGGAAATGTCTGCTACCACAAGAATGGTTCTGGATTCTGTGAGGTATATACATTAAACAAATTTAATATTGCATCGTTTAATAAGAAGATACTTGAACAGAATCCAAAGATTTAGTGATTTTTCTATAAGTTTGTTATATGTAGAAAACATTTAGGAATGATTTTGATACAATCTTCAGTACAATTTCTATGATGAACAACTTCTATTAACTTAATTTAACTCGACCCAGCATTCAAACCAGCTCGTAATCTTTATTGTCTTTATTTATTTAGTAAAAGCTAAATAGTATATAATTTTATAGGACCCTAGTCATCTGGATGGTATCACTCGGAGTGAAGTGGCAGGTTTTCCATTGGCAGCACTTGATAGGTTTTGCTATACTAATCTTTGGTATGGCCATCTATTACGACATAATACCAATGAAGAGAAGACACTCTGACGATGAAACTCCTGTAGTTAACTCGGAAGCCGATAGACTTGAAGAGGCTTAGATTTAAATAATTATTTATGTATATATATAAGTTTTTCTATTATGAACTATTATGTACTTGACTTGGGTCGTGTTGGCTAAAAGTTATTCTATTGCTCAGTTTTAAATTTTATATTCTCATTGCGTAGTTAAGGTCTAGGTTATTATGATAAGAAAATTTTTTTCAAATCTTTTATATAAAACTATATTTTCGGGTGTGCCTCGCATTTACAATTATGTTTATATTTTCAACCTCATTTCTCGATAAAATTCAACATCCCGGATCATACTAAAATGAGATGAAGCTATCACTTCAATGATTCTCTTGTAATGTAAGTAAGTGGTAATTAATTGGAATGCCAGCTTAATAATAAAAAGGTAAGTATGCAAGTCAGGTCCGGAAATATAGAATTATATAAATGTACTATTTGTGAACATTTTAGATATCTTTATTGTATTAAACTTGTACATATTTTTTTCCTGTTCATGTTAAAGCAGACTATACTATATGTAGTTATGGAAATAATAAGAGATTCATTGTAAAATAGATTTTCTTATTATATACTTTTAACTTTACATTCCTATCTGTGTGGAAGGCTATATAATGTGATATTTCAATAATTTTATATATTTTTTCTGATTATACAAACGTTATTGGCTTTCCGACATGAAGTATATAAAATCAACATCTTTAATTGTAACTGCAATATTATAATTTTATTGACGAGTTTTGTACAAATATTTGTTGATAGCGAAATGTAAAGCAATAAAGAACGTATCATAAGTATATAATTGACATAAATGTACTTTTCTGTTTTATTTATTTCTTTTTATTTCATTTTTTTATTTACGTATTAGATGTTTATTTTTTGACGGACCACGGCACGTTGGTTGTAAGCTCATCTCTTAGTGGTGCTATTTAGGCCTGGTCGCTACACCTCTCAGCTCGCATTGGTGGTAAACTCATCATCAGCAAAGAAGACCACAAGCAATGGATTCCAATAGAAGATGATAAATATCTAACTGTTTTTCTTGCTATTGTTTTAAGAACTGTCAATTTGACGTATAAAATAAGTCAGCCAATATCTGGAATCCAGCGATTTTAGCAAAATAATTGAAAGTAGTTTTCCACCGTCGATAAAATCAAATGCCTCTATATTTTACGCGAAGTTGCGTGAGGAAGAAAAGGCGCCCCTGGCGATTTCCAAATCAGATTGGTTATTTTCCTCAAAACCTCCCCAAGATGTTTTAATTACTTGGATTTTCTTCTCAAATAACTTCTGCAATAATGGCGAGGCAAACAATGCGAATTTTTTTTTACTTGCGATGCGATGTTATGACTGTGATGTGATTGTTAATAATTAAAAACAAATATCTTTTATACGATAGTGTGTTTTAAAAGATTTTACACAAAAATCAAAGGCGTCTTTTTACCAAGTTAGACCGCAAAAAGTAATTTTAATTGTTGAAATCGTGACACATGCAAATAAAAGAATATTCCAATTTCCATATAACTATCGTGATAAAGATATTTATAATATTGTTTTAAAACTAACATTTTGTACAAATAATTGTAGTTGGTGGATTGTGGTGGAAAAATGTGTACAGTAGACAGTTTTATCCAAAATGTCACACAATTTAAACAAGTGCCTTATTGTAAATCTCCATTGAAGTTAGCGTAAAATATAGCGTCAAGATGAGAGCAAGACAAATATTCCTGTGTGAAGATTCGTCGTCATATCCTCGATTCGGGATGAGAGGTACAGCATCCAGTCTCTTAGATAGCACAGCTATGTTATGGGCTTACACATAACATGCCTCTGGTCAACAGCTTCATGTCGGCCATCTTGTTTTACAACATTTGACATTTAGTTTGTTTTTTGCTATGCGTCATTTTGTCTTAGATTCTTGACTTGTCATTTTCATACAAAACATTGTAGAAAAAGAAATGTAAATAACATAAGCTTTGCGCTAACAGCCCCTTCGTAGGATCTATGCTTTTTGTGATAAATGTACGTGAAGACTAAATCACAGATTTTCGGAAGAGAGTACTCTTAATAAGTAGATGTGATAAACATTATTCTATCTAGATATTAAGTGAATATCTTTCATTCTAGCTAAGCTTAAAATATTCGCTACCATGACACGCTTGAACACTATGTATATATTATTGTATAGTATGTCATATGTAAGTAGTAGTAAGATGTATATTAAGATTGGCATTTTCACCATCCGTGCCTCGTGGAGCACGTTACTCACAGGTCATCGACCTGCTACTATAGATGGGTTACTGCGACAATTAGATGTTAAACCTGCTGTATAGATTGAGACGGGTCGTGTAAGTTAGCTTATAGATGTCGTGGGCCCTGTTTAATATAGTTTAGGCTACCAGTAGATGGCTTGGCAACAAGTCACGTCATATTTGCCCTTCGCTTGTAAATGATCGTAGTTTGCCCCGTTTTAATCCAGTAGTTAAGTGCGGCGTTACCATCCTAAATAAATGTATCTTCTTTTTCTCTAAGTGTGTACGTACTGTATGAAACTATCGAATTTATTTATTGTATTTCTTATCATCTTTAATTCGATGTATTAATTTAACCATATACATATGTATATATATATTTCAATGACTTTTCTATACTATTCCAAATTTGCTCATGTGAGAGACGCGTCTATTTTATATGTCTTCTACGTGGATTGTGATATAAAAGAATTTCCAAAATGATTGTATTGTGACTAATTATATGTGAAAATTTTATTTTATTAAAGAATTTATTCGGCCATGAACATTTGATACGTTTTATTTGTCCTTAATTTTTTATGGATTCTGTTGAAAAATAATAGCAATGACAAGGATAGTATGCATGTAAAAGAAAATATTTTAAGGCGTAATTGATATAAATATTTATTTAGGTTTTTTCTTTATCCGTTTTCAGTTTTTCTCCAGGACCTGAAATAAAAAACATACACAATATCAAGACGAAACTTATTTTTTAAACTATTGAAAATATATCCTATGCATCACTACGATATACTGGGTATACGATATACATTCCATAGAGTCAAAACTGTTTTAATATGTATGTTGTTACGTCTTCTAGTTCAAATAAACGGCGTGACAATGTTTTTAGTTTATCGAAATCGGGGAAACACAAAGTTTAAAGACGTTTTTTATACTACTTGTTAAAGGACTATTATTAGACAAATTTTCTTTACACATCTATCGTACTCACCTAACTGATTGCCATTCATCCAGAAGAAGATTTTAATGAAAGTTTGATCACGCTTCGCTGCCTCTTCCCTGAATTCAGATTTAAGAGACTTCCTTAGCGTTTTCGCGGCGATATTTGAATAATTGACGTAACTGAAACATACACAATGTACGAAAAACGTTACAAGTAAAGTAATTAATAACTAAATCTCAAAACGAACTTAAGACCAGCCATTCGCCAAGTGCTCATTTTATTTTTAATGAAATTAATAATTATTATCCGTTTGACAGCTTTTTTTATGAATGAATGACAGTGGCGTTAGACGTTATTACTGTAACGTATTTGATATTTAAAAGTGCCAGTAAATTGCAAAATAAAAATATAATTTTATCGAGACGAAAAAACCCGATAATAGAAACTATAGAAAATTGTTTGCAACAGCAAAATTCTATTTCTTAATTGTGAGTAATTCGAAAAAATATTTTTCTCTAGTACAAAAAAAGATGAAATATCCATGAAGTTACAAAACAAAAAGTTATTATATAATTTTATCGTTAAACCTAACATAAATAATGTCATAAAAATTAAATCATACACGTAACAAAGAGTTTACTCTGTTAATAAAACAAATAAAAACAAGTAACTGTCACACGCTCGTTAAATATTTAAATAACTAGTTATGTTCAGATTTGGGTTCAATTTTTACGCGATAACTAAAGATACCGTTATTTTAATAATATTGGTGACCTGTTGGAACTATAAACAAAAAATAAATATCTTTACGAAACTCCTCACTCTCCTTTCCTATGTAAAGTTTCCAATTGTAAAATTATAATTATTTTATTATTAATAATGATGACTAAACTTTTTTCTGACTTAAACTTAAATTTGAGCTACCGAAATTATTTTTGTTTAGTTATCACCAATTAGGTGATATAATAATATTCTTCTCGAGAAACATAATAATATTCTTCTCGAAACTCGAGTATATTGAGTACATACAATTTTACAATATATTTTTTAAGCGTAACTAATATGTATGTAAGCGATTAAAAAAGTAAATGTAGCGGAAATAATGCTAACTTTTTGCCAGTAATAAAAGAAAAATGAAAGAAAATCACTCTATAACAATTAGATCGATAAAATTATTGCGTGATGCGTCCTTGACTTATTCTTCTACCTGGCAATTTCCCAGCTTCAGCCAGGATCAGCCTTACATGTTGTGAATAGTTTTGGCTCATTGTTTTTACGACCGGCCGCCTGCCTGACATCAACCCTCTTTGGGAATGCATGTGATGTCAAAATACTCTTAGAAAGTACATATTATGACTCGGAGAAATCACATTGGTACTTGCCAGGGCCAGGATCGAACCCGCGCCCTCATGCATGAGAGGCGGGCCTTTTAACCACTAGGCCACCACTGACTTCAATTGCGCCCCTGACTGTTATTCTATATTATTTGTATAATTATTTATTTGACTCTAACCAGTGAAATTATTTGTATCATTTAAAGCGAGTTTCATGTTTTAGTTAAATATTATTTTACTACGCGATATATGAAATATTATCGCTGAGTGACTCAGTACTCAGTAGAGTTAGTTGTGGAAGTAAGTGATAATATTGGCAGTTACAATATTAATATATGTATATAATACTTAAAAATATATTTAATTATTATTGACCTATTTGAAAGAATATTATTAGTATCTACTACTGTCAGCGCATGTCTTACAAAAGAAATAAAATCCATAATTAATTTAATGTAAAATCTAGCAAAATGTTTAAAAAGAAACATGATAAATTGGGTACAAACTGTTATTTGTTTGTTATTATTTGACTATCTCAATAGTTTCAACAATATTAATTATTACAAAAGTTTGCTATATACATACATATATATAAGAGATAGCTCCAATATGATTCGATCGACATATTTTTCCCCTCATCCAATTTCCTTCAAGCATCTCCACGATTTAAAAGCTTCTCTGGTTTCAACGGACCCTCTCATAATTCCCAATAAAACCTTATTTAGTTTATACATATTATTATATGATAAGTATTTGTTTATTCTCTGTTATTATTTCGATCTTTCCTGGTACATATTTCGTCACCTTAAAAGTTACAGTAAAGAGGTCTAAAATATTTGATGGTTATGAATAAAATTCATAGAATCATATCGTCAGTTAAAACAAAGTACATATATGTGATAAATATTTAATTTGCAACCGGTTCCAGAAACTGTATATAGCTATGCCATTGTATTCAGAGAAATAACAGGTTTATAACCGTTGAAAATTATATTATAAAGAAAACAATATACTAACTCCTTTCTTAACACAATTAGTAAAAAACAAAAAAAATATATAACTAATATAATCATTACATTCTTAAAATTTGAGAAATTGTTCAAAAATAACTTCAAAGGATATTTTAGCGGCTAATTTCTACGAATGCATTTCTCTTGCTTCATACTCTGTGATCCCGTCAATGTTTATCCAATCCAAAATGAACCTTATCTCAATAAATTAAATACTATATTTATATATCGCCGTTATCTTAAAATCTATCACGCTATCATGGATCCATAATATACGATATGATTATTAAACCATAACGATACGACTGTAACATTTATATGCTTTTACAGACTACTCGAACTCATTGCTCTTTATCGTGATAAATTTTATCCAATAATGAATCTTATTGTGTCGTGTTAAAGCTAATTTTGTGGTTGTTCGGTTTCGGTCATGCGCATAGCGTGGCTACTAAAAAGTGTTTTCAAGGTCACCTTGAGTGCCCGCCGTGCAAGCCAACAATACCGACTAGCAGAACACCCAAGCCATACCACCTCCATCGCTCGTCAGTACGTGACCTGTGGCACATAGAACGTGAGTACCTGCCTTTATTTCATACACATTTCAGACTAGTATTAGTCATAGCGGGAAAATAAGTTTGTTTATTTCATCATGTCCTGTCAAATGACTTGATCTGTCACTTGAACTTTTTAATTATTAAAAGTCGCAAACTTTCATTATTCGGCTTTGGTATACGAACTTTTTATTTACTTTTAATGTATTAAAGTTTTATGATATAAATTATTCATTTTATGTGCAATCCCTGGATTGCATTAATAGTCGTAATGCTCCAGATATTTCGGGTTTTGTGTATATTCGATAGTAAAACTCAGCTATTGTAATTGTGCATGCGTCATAATAAATGATAAATACGATAAATAAAGTATACTTTAAAAGTAATGTGAAATATATTTTATTCGATATCAATATTGTAAAACCGCGTTTCAAATATCAATTGATATTATATGAAGCGATTTATAAATACGTTTTTTTTTAAAGTTTTGAACTCAAAAAGTGAGTATATGTATTGTAAATATCATGTAGTGTTAATTTAAACTTTGCCAGAACAGATAAAAATAGTTTTACATGTTTTAATTGTAATGAATATCAAAAATTTCTCTTTCAAATTAAGGACGTCGGATTTATTTAATACATATTAAAAGTTTACGCACCTTTTGACCTTGTTCCTGACCTCTGCGATGCGAATGATCTCATTTAGTAATCTCTTAATCAAATGTTTATTTATTTTTGAGTCTGCTTCCCGTTTTTATGTGACGATTTGATGGAGAGTATATTTTTAACACCGTTTTAATTTTCCATAATTTCTTATCGATTAAAATTTGTATGATTTCATAGTTACAAATATTGTGATATTTTAACAAGAAATGACACGTCAACTTGTCTTGAATTTTAAATAAATCTATTAATACAAATATATGTATAATTAAATATTATAGAGGAAGGAAACTTGAAGTTGAATTATACAATAACTTACTAAACATCATTTATGTTATTAAAATTATCAAAAGATATTGTTTTTTATTTATGGTATTTACATATATTTTATTTATTTCTAATATAAAAAGGTTTTTTTTTAAATCCGTCAAACATTATTGCAGTTTATCTCGCCGTGTTTTAAAGTTATTTTTAGACCACGTCATATTTATTGTATTGATAAGTATTTCTTGAAAACTAAAAAAAAATATTATCTCTGTACAAAATTCTCTTTTATTATAGTTATATATTTTCAAGCATTCTAAATATTGTGTGAAATTAATTTTCCATAGTGTAGGTAGTTGGTCTCATTATTAAAATACTAAAATGCTAAAATTGTCGATTTAATCAAAAACGTTACATGACCATTTGTTTCTCTTCCTATCAAATAAAGACCAGCCGTTTCCGAGATAAGATGAAACATAATAAAAGGCAGACAGTAAAAAAATGTGTTAAAATAATATAGATAAAACGATATATACGTTGTAAAAATAAAAATTATTACCTAAATGCATAAAAAGAATACACTGAAAGTCATTTTTAAATAGCTAAATATAGAAGAATTAAAATTAATGTTGTTTGTATAAAGATTATAAGAATGTTTTAACGAGAAATGCTATGTATATTTTGAATCAAACTTTCACAGACCTTGGCATTAACCTTCAAATGATTATTTTCGTCGATCCGATTTCATTTGATCTTAAATGTGACTGAGATCTTTTGGTTATAAATTACAATCATTGCTGGCTATCTATGTGTCTAAAATTTTAACAATACATATTGCAAAGCTCACGACAATTCGTTTAGTGTACTTTATACGCTCTAAAGAATACAGTAAGATAATTCATATATGTATACAAAAAAAAATAGTTATTACAATGGCAAAATAATATGACAACATTAATCAAAATTCTCGCAATAAAAAACAAACGCTAATTATATATCTTTATATAATACTATAATGACTCCATTAAAATCCTCAGGATAGCATTGAAGTTTAATATTACACAATGAATGAAGAAGATTTCGTTTTAATGGTGCAATATATACATATAATATATTTTATTCACAAATTCGCGTATGCGTCATGCTTGTAACAAGACAACGTGATTTCTGACATGTCCTGAACGTATAAGACTACAAGTTTTTGGACGGAATCCTATCCCCACCCCGCTTCATCGCGTCCACACACATAAATAGAGCTTCAGAGACATAGCCGGCATTCAATGCGGAAGTTTCGAGCTGTGCGCCAATTATTGGTCTCATTATTTATATTAATTATTAAGTTATATTCGTATGTTAGTTAAATTTAAATATTAAAATGAGTTATATGAACGGGAACTCTAATGGGAACGGCACTGCAAATGGCAACGGTTACAATGGCTTCTATGGCTATAGAAGTGAGTATTTTACGCCGTTTCGATAAATTCTTATAGGTTTTAATGCGAATTTTTGTATTTTTTGTGTATTTTATTCCTATACAGCCTATTCGTTGAACTCTCCTACAATTCTTTCTACTTCTGCGTTCGTTTTTGTACTTGTTATATAATGTACAGTAATTTATTAAATAAGAATATTTCTTTAAGTTGAGTGTTTTTCAGTAACATGTTTTTCATAAATATCACATGTAATAGCGTTTGTTGGTTTAATACAAGCCCTTAAAGGATTTAATTATTCAACTGGTTTCAAATGTCTTGAATCATAATAAATTTAACAGACACTCTATTTGATTGTTATTTTTTTATAATATTTTTAATATAAATCCCTTGTTCAGGGATGGCATCTGCGCTTTGCTAAACTAACCTACTTTTCTTATTAAATTGCTACACAATAAACTATCACAGGACCTAATAAAACTAGACATAGTATTAAACTGTGAATATTTTTAATTAATTTAATTCTAATATGTATGAAAAAACGCAAATTTTCCTCTCTTTTCAGTTATACACCATGTTTTAACCATAGATATAATTCAAGTAATTTAATTTAAATGAAACTAATATTATTCTTATATACTGCGTGCTTAAATTTTGTAAAAAAACTACATACTCCCGACGTTTCGGTTACTTTTAAACACCGTGATTACGACGTGATAAGTCGAGTAATTTGCTTTGAATTTTTATTAAGAATATGGTATATTTATTTGTGCAGACAAAATGGCGACCCTGGACCAGCTTTTCCAGCCCATCCAACCCAAGACTGAAGCCACTGGGACAAAGGTCACAGTAGTGGGTTCTGGTCAGGTCGGCATGGCAGCTGTCTTCGCGATGCTAACACAGGTATGTAGAGCGATTCTATAAGATTACTGAGTTTATAATTGAATAGCTTTTCTGGCAGATATTTTCATGAAAAATTATGAAATCACGAAGTTTTTACATATTATATAGGTACTATTAAAATTCTTCATATTCCTCATTAGTTATTTCATGTTATTTGTGTGATTGAATAGTGTATTGTTATCATGTATGCCCATTGTTTTATGTGTAAGTGCATTTTTTAACGCCATATGTAATTTATTTATACGTCAATTTATGAACGAGCGTGACATAAGATAGATTTGAGCGTTCTGAAAATCATAGAAAATTTGCTTGAATTTGGCAATATTAATAATTTTTAATGAAACTTATATTATTTGTACATATTTGTACGCGTATATTATTATTTTATAAAACTACATACTCCCAACGTCAAATACTAGTTAATCCAAAAATATTAGTTCATTCAAATTTTAAATGAATACTCGCGAAAGTCTTAAATCTCATTATTAATGATTTTAAATGAAGTAACGAAAAACACTAATTATACATATGACACGCGAATATAAAAAGGCGAAAAAAAATGTTACAAAGTTATATACATATATAATTATTTGATTTGTAATCGTATACTGTGGGTAGTACTGGGTATTTTGAATTAAAAAAAAATATCATATTTTTTTATACTACACGATATAAAACTTTTGATTCAACAAAAAATATATATTTTCAAAAAATATTTCGGATGTCGATGTAAACTTTTATTTAGATAATAAAAAAATTCTTTTCCTCTTTATTTCTGCTATATATCTTTGGATTATTAAAAATATTCCTTAAATGTTGCCAACACAACAAAATTATCGAAAAAAAACTTACAGTGAATTTATGCCGCAATCTTAATATAGATAATTCCGCGTATTTAATTCTAAAACCAACTAAATTATTTATAAAACATTAAATAGTGAATAATAATTTTATATGAAACAGAAATCTTATAAAAATTAACTCCAAAGATATATATTTTTTCGTCCATATGAATAAAAAAAACTTTTAATCTTCATTTTAAACACGACATACATTTTTTCCCACATTGTAGCTATAGTAATAACAATTAATGATTTTACGTATGTTGTAAATGTTTTTACAAAAATTATCAGTAATTATTTGAGAAAAAACAACGGAAAGATATATTATCAAGGTAATAAAATTTAACAATAACATTTCTTTTAACCTCTGACCAAATAAATGTACACTACATGTAATGCTTTATAATAATCGGTGATAAAATTATATGGCTTTAATAAAACAAGCTGTGATGAGTCGAAACCTCTCATCATTCCATGTATTCACGGAGCGTGTGTCGGGTCCATCGTTGTAGGGAGAGGAGCTTCAACAGTGACTGGGACTTGAAACCCAGGTGTAGGTTTAAGGGACCTTATCAAACGCTTTAAACGCTCACCTCCACCGTACAAGCTCCTCTCTCTATCTATCCAAATTTGAAAAGAAATTTGTTTTTATCCGCTATTGTTTGACGACTTTTTTTAAATACAAACCTGACGTACATACAAAATAGGACTATAATGCTGTCATCCTTGAACAATCGAAGTTTCAGCATAAATTAAAACCTACGTGTCATTCTAGTATATGCACAATAACCATTGCATATATATTGCAATTACAATAGTAGATAGTTAAAGAATTTCATCTTGCATTATTATATATGTTTTCTCCTTTGGATCATCACAATATATATTAAATTTCCAGTTTTCGTAATCATATTAAATAATAATGTTAGCTTATCATTTCTTATTAACTTGATAAAAGCGGTTTAGTGATCTCATCTTTATTTTCAAGGGCGCGTATTGTTTTGTCTGTCAGACTGTGGGTCATTTTCGGTCACTTATCTTTTTGGACGAGTTAGAAACTATGACAACGATTTTGATAAATTTTCACGAAATTTGTTATATAGTTTCAGTCGTATACAATTTTTTATTATAAAGCTTCTTTGAACAGAAAAAAGAAATATATAATATAATCTATACCATATTTTGACTAATTATAATTATTTTCAATACTTACATTATAAAGTTATATCATAATTTTCACATAAGGATTTAAAATAGCAGAAATAAAAAACAATGTTAATAGTTTAAGAATTTTAATATAAATTTGTGAATATTTACGTAAGAGATAAAGATTGATTTTGTTTTCAGCTAATAATATTTTATAACTACATTTAAACGAACTTAAAAATTACGCTAACATAATAAAGTTTCTGTATGAGCAGGTATCTTTTTTCATAAATGAATTAAAAATATTAAAAATGAAAACAATAAAATAAAAAAGCTTATAATCACTATTGTATTAAAATGTGTGAAGAATCATTAGGCTTCCGAGGACGATTTTTTTTCATTGAATCTCGTAATATTCATAAGTAAAGAAGCACTTTAATTCTTTAAACAAAAACGCATACTCAAATTATTAATCCATTTATAGAACACAAGATATATTGATTATACATTATTATATATAAATATTAAAATGGTGTTATTCTTTTAGGGCGTCACTAACAATATAGCGTTAGTGGATTGTATGGCAGACAAAGTTAAAGGTGAAATGATGGATCTCCAACATGGTTCGTGCTTCATGAAAGACGCTAAGATCCAGTCGAGCACAGGTACATACAATATTTTGTTCGTTGTTTTTAATATGATCTTCATGCGCGAAGACTAATATATTCTGCCAGTATCGTATATAATGTAGGAGACACTAAAAACAAAATTACTAGCTTCCACTGAAGTCACAATTATTAACTTTGTTAGTAGATATAAAACAAAACAAATTGAATTAAATGCTAACATAGAAAATAAACTTAGTAAACTATTTAGGTTATAATTTGTTTAAATGAAGTGTCATTGTCAAAACAGTTACAACAGATTATAAAAGTAATAATAGCATCTGTAATTTAGTATAATGCCAGTGTTATTTAATTTAATTTTTCATATTCAGATTACGCAATCTCTGAGGGATCCAAGATCTGTGTTGTGACCGCTGGTGTAAGGCAACGCGTTGGGGAGACCAGGCTTGAATTGGTACAGAGGAACACTGATGTGTTGAAAGTTATTATACCCCAGGTAAGTAGTGACTATATACCTTAGTAATAGGCATGATCATCAGCCCATCAAAGCTGAGCAAAGGCCTCTTCTCACATAGAGAAGATTTGAGCATTAATCACCACGATTTTTCAAGTAATAAGCATATTGGATTTAATAAAATCCTGATAAGTTTAAAACCATTAATTGCCAGATGTACAATTCTTACCATTTCCGCACGAAAATCTCGTCATATAAAATTATTATACTTATCAAACGTTTATCAAAGTTTATTAATATTTTTTATGCATATTTACATTATATCTGAAGGTCTCATTATCTAATTGAGATTTTGTCACCACTTTTGACCTTTGTGACACCAATATTGACTAGATTTTGTCCGCGACTTCGTCTACATAGTCTTCGGTATTGAGCTAAATGATAACGATCTGGCAGTAACATCTATAGTCATTGTCACGTGACTTCATATATGATGCAAATGTTATGCCATAGTACTGGGAGAACTACGTCTTTTAGTAATGAGTTATAGCCTAAGACTTGTGCTTAAGTCTAGACTACATTACTGTAATGTTTCATCAAGATCTGACTTGTAGTTTTTGTTTGAAAGAGCAACAAACACATATATGTACATCTTCACAAACTTTCGTATTTATAATAGTACATAATTTAATTTTCAAAATATATAAAAAACCAAAGATTTTTCTTCTAAAATACATGAATTTTACGATAGCTTTTCAACATATTATCTTTTGTAAGTTCAGTATAATTATAATTAATATTTTAATAATCTTACTTTTTATCTAACAGCTTGTGAAGTACTGCCCGGACGCCATATTCATTATCGCGAGTAACCCAGTGGACATTCTGACTTACGTGACCTGGAAAATCAGTGGACTGCCCAAGAACAGGATCATAGGATCAGGAACCAACCTTGACTCAGCTCGATTCAAGTACTTGCTATCTGAGAAGTTGGCTGTAGCCTCTACATCATGTCACGGCTACGTCATTGGTGAACACGGAGACAGCAGTGGTGAGATAAATAATTCTTGTAGAACTAATTAATTTTATGACGTCACGAATTGATAGGTCAATGACCTCTAGCAATAGTCTTGACATTTCTCTTTATTTATATATATATCAACGTGTTAATTTTTAGTACCTGTATGGTCCGGTGTGAACGTAGCCGGCGTGCGTCTGAGCGATCTCAACCCTAAAATAGGTTCGGATGACGATCCCGAAAACTGGAAAAAGATCCACGAAGATGTGGTCAAAAGCGCCTATGAAGTCATCAAACTCAAAGGATACACCTCCTGGGCTATTGGACTGTCTTTATCACAACTCTGTCGCGCTATACTTTACAATATGCAAAGCGTACACCCTGTTACAACTTGCGTTAAGGTATAACTTGAAACTAATCATTAAGATGCATCTCTAAGCTCTTATATAATTATTTAAACCTCTTTATTTCTTCCCAGGGTGAGCATGGCATAGAAGATGAAGTGTTCCTATCCCTACCCTGTGTGCTCGGCAGGAAAGGCATCTATGACATAATTCGACAGACACTCACGGAAAGCGAACTAACCCAGCTTCGTAAATCTGCTGAACTCATGGCAAAATTGCAAGCCGGTATCAAATTTTAGAAAATTTTAAATATATAGTCTACATTATAGACCACAGATAATTTATAACAATTATATTATTACACAGATAATAAATATTTATATAACCTATTATGACTTTTGATGCATTTTTAATATTTCGTAATGGATGTCGTCTTGTGTCTTTTTGATGTTTTTTATATATAAATCTAATTTCTAGATAATGTGAACTACTTTACTTTAGGTATTATAAATGTAAAAAATGTACTCTGTTGTAATCTAACAAGATTTCAGTGCATTTTTTTAAAGGTGTGTCAACATTAATATTTAAGGATAGTCGTAGGATTTTATATTTTTGATCCTTTTAATGTTTTGTATGTTTCTATTTTGAAAATTAATGTTTTATTAAATGTAATAAATGTTGTGAGTCGAATTTTGATTTTTATTTATAGCTATGAAACATCTTATTTACTTTTATTTTCATTTAATATAGGGGCTGTCCATTAATCACGTGAGGCTTGAAAGGGGGGGGAGGGGTTTGATAAAAATCACGAAAATAACACAATCGGGACGGGGGGTGTAGTAAGATATCACGTGTATTTATTTTTTCGTCTAACGCGAAATTATTATTGTTATGGCAATTAAAAAAAACTTGCAACCTGGTGTAGACATTTTTATTATGGTCCTTAATTTCAAAATAAAATAAGATTATAGTTTATACCTGTATTTAAATTAAGATAATATTCAGAAAATTTTAAGATTCGTTGTAGGTACTAAAAATACACGTGATGTTGAGAAGGGGGAGGGGGGGTGGTCTTAAACCTCACTACGTATCACCAATGGGGGCGGGGGGGGTTAAAAAAAGCTAAAAAAAGATCACGTGATTAATGGACAACCCCATAGAACCAAGAGGTAAGAATGTGTCACCTGTAAATAAAGTCAAAGTCAAAAAATTATGTCAAACATGGTTATTTAAGTATTATAAACACATTGTTTAATATTTAGATGACAAAATAAACCTTTAGAAGGCTTCGAAGCTGCCCTAACAATCCCTCCATCATCTCCTCCATCATCAAGCGATATTTTAGAATGAGCATAGTCGTTAGATTGGTTTTTCTCGAACTGGTTCAGCTTCCGCATATTCTTCCCGTGATGATGTTAAAGACTTAGGTCTAACAGTATTTCTTATATAGAAAATTCATCATTTCAAGGCAGCGCAAGAGGTCTAATATTTAAAGTTATTTTTCAATTATCCTTTGCTATACAGTAGTTTATTATTAGAAATTAGGATAATCATATTAATAACTTTAAAAAGACCTCAATTATATGAGTATCTATGTTCCGTCGGTCCATTTATTAGGCATGCTGCCTTTTTGTTGCATCATTCTTTTATAATTCTTATTATTTATAACTTTTTAAATCATACATTAATGAGTTATTGTAAAGATTTTTACAAAACAAAAATGCTTTTACATTTTATGTCCGTATAAGTATTCTATCTGTTATTACAGTTTGTCGAAACTAAAATGACGCGCCACTACTTTTTATTTGATTTAAATGTGTGAGTGCAAAGGTTGATATGTACGATTGTATGTGTGGGAATTCGACTAGTAGCAAACATATCGGTCGACTAGTCGCGTGATAAGTCCGATTATTTAAATGAAACTAATATTTTTCGCATGAAATGAAATGAAGATTTTACGAGATGACATCTTCTGCCCGTGATCACGGTTGCTGTAAAATAGCCGAAACGTCGGGAGTATGTGGTTTTTATCAAAAATATAAATCGCGTAGTACATCCGACAAATATTAGTTTCATTTAAATGAATACTCGCGAAAATCTCAGATCTGATTAAGTCCGGTTATGTTAAATGCGTATTGTGGGAAAGAAGATGTCCTCTTTCTCGCATGAGTAGACAATTATGATTAGTTGGACAACTGATTGTAAAATTAACACTTTTAACACCTACGGTCTACAAAGAAAATGAAATACAAAGATTTAATGACTATATTTGGTAGTTTTTTATTTAAATTGTTGTTTTAGATTTTAAGAAGTATTTATTTTACAGTTCAGTGCAGTTTTATATTCCATTTAATATTAGGTTTATATTAATTTCAGTTGCGATAGTAGTAAAAAATTTAGTTCGTTGAAATTAGTTTATAATGAACTATTCACTCAACTCATTAAAATAGCTTTCATCTGAATCAGAATAATTAATATGAATAATGGATTCCTTATTCAAGTAAAAAAAAATGTTTTTTATATTTCTACTAGAAGACCTGGCGAACTTCGTATCGCCCTATAATCAAGAAATATCTATTACGTTTTTTTTATTTATATTTTTGGAGTTTACCTGTAAGCCATAAATCTCCGTGCTTTGAAGTGAGACAGAATGATTGACATATTAGTTAGTTGTCAAATCTAATGTAAAAAAACCGTTTGTATGGGAAATAGAAAAGGGCTGTTTTTATGGTTTTCCCGGTAATGAATCAATTTTTTTCAGCTTTTTTACCTTCCCTGAACCTCCACGAACATTTCAAGACTAAGATAAGATAAATCCGTTCAGCCGTTCTCGAGTTTTAGTGAGACTAAGGAACAGCAATCCAGTTTTTATATATACAGAAGATTGAGACGTGTTTATTAAATTTGCTGACGGTACTTCTGTGAACGGGTGACGCGTGCTCCCACGTTTCTGTTTAACGACTGAATGACCAATCACAGATACATTTTTTGTTTATTGCCTACATATTATATAATGTTTGTGTTTGAAAATGCAGTAGTGGGGCGCATCATTATAATTTAGACAATCTATATTCAGTAAAATTTAATTATAAATATGTATTAGAACAAAGTCTCTTTCATATAATTCTCTTAAATATATAGAGTATTATGTGTGGGATTATGTAAAGAAATTGGTGACTTTGGAAAAGCTTTTAACGCCCAGGCGAAGATGGTATGCATTGGTAACAAAATAACGGTGGGATCTGGTCATGATCTTGTAGTTATGGCAACGAAAGAAGTGCTCATAAATGTGCTAAATAAATTCGTATTGCTTAGTAAAGAAAATATAGATTTTTAATTTTTTCAGTCATATTAAAAAAGTTGAATGATAGTTACAAATGATATATTCCACTTACCGCCATGTCGAATATTTAAAACTGATTAAGATATTTAAGGGAGTTCCCGTTGATTATTTATTTTATCTTTTTATAGATAATGCAAAGAAATAAATTGTTCGCTATTATTAAATATAATTTGCAATAAATATTTTTGATAAGACAGATAAATATAAATACATGAAAACTAACTAAAAATGTTTTAGGATGGTGTAATAATACATACTTAACTTCGGTCCAGATTAAGATGAAACAAAACTAATGTAATTAGTAATGAACAGGCCATAATAATATTACAATGCCTATTTTTTTAAACTATATTAGACCCCTATATGAAGTTTTTGTAAGCATATATAAAAATAATGACTGAGATATTCTTTAATAGTAAGAGAGCAGATGTTAGTCATAGTTTTATAAATAAATAAATTGTCAGTAACGTAAGGGTAGAAACATTATAATATATTATTATGCTGGCAGTAGTTAAAGGGTGGGGGTAACCTTTGTCCCTTTGCTATCAAATCGTCAGTCGCTTGGAAAACTTTCGTAAAGCGACACTCCAAGCATCGTAGGGTTAAATTGTTTAGTTTTAAGCCTTCATATAAGTTGCCACCAATACTTGTACCATTCAAAAGACTTTTTATGATTAAATTTTTGAAGCTATGTACATCACCCACATAAAATCGTAAACGCTCTAATTAAAATTATCATTAATTGTTTGAAAACCAGAATATTTTTAATCTATGTAATAAAATTTAACAAAAATATTTCACTCGCCTTTGACACCATAATTTGTTAATCACTATACATATACACCAATTAAAATATATAAATTAACGCAATAAAAATACGCAATCATCGTGAAGGCGAAAAAATTATTATTTAGGAAACAAATGTTAGATAATGATTTGTTATCTGTACTGATAATGGTAATTATTTAAATAATTTACATGGTAACCCAAAGTGCAGCGTCGTCTTCTATAATTCATGACATGACAACGGTGCTGTCATGATTTTTTGCAAAGTTACAAGATAAATTAGATCTCATTTATTGTCATGAGGTATCGTTTAGGTCATATAAGTCTTATAGGACCGCCTGGACCTTTATGTAAGTATTACTAGTCACTGGCTCACTCCTACCCCCGCCTATACCGCAGGCGCATGTCACCGTTCTGCTCTACCTATTGTATAGCTACATATACTACTTATTCTAAATTTATTTAAATCCAGTATCCGCAAACAATAAGCTGTTCAAACTTTCTGGTCATTATATTTTATTTACGGTTCACCAAACAGATTATAACTAAATATACAATTAATTGGCAGGTAAACATTATAAGTAAGCTAAGTTATAATCCAAACTTTGTAAACATAGAGTATAAACTAAATATTTCACTTAAAAAAAAATACATCAGCACTTAAAAATACATATAGATATAAGAATATACACTTACAATAAATACAAAGAAATTTACACGGAAAAATATGAACAAGTTACAGCAATAAAAATGTAATGAAAAATAAAATTAAATTAATAACTATTATATTAATTTTATTGAAATCAAAACAAGTGTGATTTTTTTAATTTGCTTTTTGACCTTATCCGTTTCGTGAATTCTATTAGACTTTAGTTGCTATACATTAGTTTTATGAAATCATCTTAAATTTCAAGGACGTCAAATGTTTTGTCTAGCGGCTTGTAGGTCACCTCCGCGCTCTAACCTCTTAGGGATGATTACATTGTATTTTTTTAACTTTAATTATTACATTCATTGTTATGTCAAAACGGCTTTGTTTCGGATTCGGTAACAATCAAAATAATAATTTGTTACCATCTTACATATAAAAAGAAAACGCTTAATTTTGAATATATACCTACAAATACTTATCTAATATTGCTATTTAATTGAATTAAAAGTCGCAACAAACTTTTTACGGATTAGGTTTTAGAAAAAAAATCAAATAAATATTGGCGCCAAAAGAGAGCTCGAAATTCATTACTCTTCAATTTTCATTGAAAGAACGATCATTTACGTCATTGTTATAAGGGTTTCTCGTCTCTTAATAAATTGTAAAATAAGTATGGTTAGGTCTGATATCTCATTGTATCCTTAGAATTTATATGACAAGTTAAGTGGTGATTATGTTTGATACTTCAAACTGGATGATAAATTTTGTGGGAATCGTAATTGTAGACTGGATTTCATAGAAAATTCTAATACATTATCTCCAGGCTTATTATGAAGCTAGAAAGTACACATATTTAATTGAGAATTGTTTACGATACTATATTTTTGTTAATTAATAATTAAAACTCACTAACAATGTAGCGTTGACAATAGCGGACAAATTGAAAGGTGAATTGATGGATCGGCGACGCGGTTACTGTCTTAAAGGACACTCAGATCTAATAAAGCACACATAGTTACTACAGTTAAAGATAAAGCCAAGTATAGTCCGTTAGACTTAAGCTGAGCTTTGCATTTGTATGAGTGAAAGTAAAAGTAGAGTTAGACAAAACTTTTTAGAACTAAATTTTATTATATTTTAAATAGATACATAAGTGTCAGAACTTCTTCTGATTAACAATCAAAATTACTAAAACTTGTAGAAAGCCAGATGTAAATAGTATGGAAAAAATATAATAATTAATAGAAATGTTGAAAAAACTGTACAACTTCTTCTTCACTTGAAATTGAATTTTCAACACTAGACGCTGCTATCATTACAAAGGGTGAAGAGCGAAAGGTGCGGGGCGGAGTAAAAGCAGTATAAACCGGTTCAAAACTAGAAAAGAAAGAGGCATTCAAAAATTTGACATCACACCTACATTATCCGTGTGTACTCAGGTTTCACACGAATGCAAAGCTCAGCTTAAAACAAACGCATTGTACTTAGTTTTTAATTTTTATAAACGATTTATGAAAAATACGGAGTAATTGCATTGTATTTTGACGTAAATCGTAATGGTCATTATTATTCCACAGGTAAAAATTATTAATTAATAGACATTAGGTGTTTGAAATATTTATTACTACAAATATTATCTATACTATTGTGTGATTTAATAATCTTAACATATTTCTGTTATGATAAAAATACTATAATAACAACATATTATCAACATACATTCCCGATTCTTATGAGATTTTTAGATAATTGACGTCATTTAAAATAATTAATTTATCATTATTATTGTTATAGTTTAGTTTTACATCAATATCGTTTATTAAGGCATTGTTATCTCAGTTGCGTTTTTTTTGTTTAATTACGACAATAGTTTATAGATATCTTGACATAGTTACCTACTTAGTTCAAAATTAAAATGTCAAAACTCAAAAGCAAACATTGTTTATAATTTTCCAATACAATAAAAAAAAGTGAGATAGACTTTATTTTCTAATTCACGAATTTTACATACTTTTTACATCAATTTTTTTTAAGAACATATATATTTTTTTGTATGTTATGCAACAGCTTGTAGAGTACCTACTGTTCAGATGCGATATTTATTATATTAAGTAACCCAGTGGATATTCTGACTTACGTGACCTGGAAAATCAGTGGACTGCCCAAGAACAGGATCATAGGATCAGTAACCAACCTTGACTCGGCTCGTTTCAAGTACTTGCTATCTGAGAAGTTGGCTGTAGCCTCTACTTTGTGTCCTAGATTTGTCATTAGTGACCATAGAGATAGAAGAAGTGATATATGACATGCAAAATTTCATTCTATTCAATGTTTTTAGACTATGTTCTGCTATATACTCATGAACTTCTAGGAAAAGGCTATTGGACTGTCTCTTTTTCAATTTGGCAATGAAATACTTGCTCAGGGTTCATCTTTTCACACATAGTATTAAGGTACTATATAAGTAGCCAGTTATGTATTTTAAGATGCAGCTTTAAGTGGGTTCTAAAATACTTAATAAAAAAACATAAACAGAACATCTTGTCTGCCCATGATCATGGTTGCTGAAAAGTAGCTGAAATGTTGGTAGTGTGTGGTTTTATACATAAATAAAGTAACATAGTATACTCCGAAAAATATTAGTTTCATTTACATGAATAAAATGCTGAAAATCTTAGATCTCATAAAAAAACTTATATTGATACACAGGGTGAGCATGGTAGCTAAGATGAAGTTTGCTTGTATGCTCGGCATGAAAGGCAGTTGTGACAGAGTTCGACAAAAACTCTGAGTGTGATCTGGGCAAGCTTTGAAAAAGGACAGAACTTATGTTAAAATTGCAAGCCTCATTAAAGTTTTAAGATATTTTATATATACAGTAAAAACTATTAACACCCACAAAGTAAACAGCTAAAGTATATCAATGTATGTATTTTTTTATGAATATTGTCATATTATATTCATCATCTAAGTCCCTTCTTGATGTATATAAGAAACTGAATTGTTAAAATAAAATTGTATTATAATTTTTTTGATGTTCTTTATTGACCAGTACTGCATTTCCCACATATTATTATTTATTTTGTAATTGAAAATGTATAATGTTAAATTAACAAAATATAGAAAATCTAACTATTTCTTACTTTCATTCAACAATTAATTTTTATTAGAATACATTAAAGTTGATATTTAAACTACACAAGTAACAGAATAATTAATTACAACATTATTTTAATATTTAGCATAAGTGTAACATGTTATTTCTTTCCTTCTGTATGCACTAATAAATGTAAGTAAAAATAATGAACAGAGACCAATTTAAATAGATAATACATCATTTTGGCATTTTTAGGACTACAATATCGTAAGGTTCAGAATTAGATCTAACAAATCAAAAAATAATAATTTGGTAAACATTATTACGAAAAAAAAATCTTACAAAGCTCTAACGAATGTGAACAAAACTTGAACTCTAAGAAATTTACGTGTTTAAAGATGTATTTTTAATGTAACATTCAAGAACAACTTTATGAAAGTAAATTGATGTTATAATATGAATATAATATGTAGTAAGACTTTCTAAATATTACATACGTTAATTAATATACACTAAAAAAACTTTTAAAGTTCAAAATTTTTGCAATATTTTTTATAACACGTCAATATTCTAACAGGTAACTACCTAGTTAATAGTTACTGACAAATGACAATATTGCCATAGTTATTGTTTTTTTGTAGTATAGTTACTTAAAATTACTTATTCTTATTTTATAAATCGCATTTTCAGTAAAATATTAAAATTACAAAGATGTTTATATGAACTATACTTTTTAATCATTCATTTATAAGAAAAAGCAAATAATAATATATCACATATTACTAAAAATTTATCATTTTAAGTCTTATAATTAAAAAATATTATAAGGATATGGAATGATTTCAAATTTAAAAATCCCTTAATATAACCCATTAAACAAATCGTCATTAATTCAATTAAAACAAGTATTTTTTGTCACAAAGAAAGAGTCAATATTATTGTTTTCATTTTCAATTGTCAAAAGACGTTCGTATAATCATTATCTGTATTTCTCAAATGCACAGTGTTTCTGTTTCGAATGGCGTCCCGAGGGAATAGCCCGCGATCGTAAAACTGAATAAAATACTATGAAAACAAAATGTTCGTAAATATAATGAAAATATAATTATTTAATATAGTAATATTTCTATATTAAGTTTCAGTGTTTATTAAGTTATTACGGTGTACAAAATACGAAGACGTAGAATATCGACAATTAATTCAAAAGTTTGATTTATGGTTTTCTGACGGGCATCCCTAGTGTAAACATATTTAAAAAAACAAACACCAGACGCGATCAATACTGTGTACCTGGGAAAATTTTGTTTGGTACTTTGGCGTCTGGCTTGGTGGGAGAAGGTTGCGAGCGGGAATACCGGCTACAGGTGAACTACTTTTCGTTGTTAATTACGTGTAAGGACATTTTTTTTATTTATAATTTTCATTTAAAACATTATAATATCTCATAATGATGATTTTTATTCATATCTTTTATATTTTTTTCGATCATAAGTTACTAATTCATTATTTAATGTGGGAAGATATAAAAGAAGTAAAAATAATTTTATGTTAAAATATATTCCTTTCTTAAGATTTTATTTTAAAATAATGTTTTTTATAATATATTTATATTTACTACTACTACTATAAACACACTTAAAGATTATTTTCAATATTTGTCCACTTTTTTCAATAAAGTCATGAAAACTCTTAAAGCATCAAGGAAATGGCTGAAATTTTGCTACTTATATTTTTATCACTGTATACATATTTTTTAGTTATTACAGTTGGTTGTTATGTATCAATGACTTCTTTTCTTGTTCTACTGTCTAAGCAAATGATAAATTTAAAAATAAAAACTACAAAAAAGTTTCTTTGTGACATGGGGTAGGTACCTGAAATTTTTTGAAAATCAACATGGCCGCTCATGCGCGCCATTTTGTAGTTAAGAAATTTACATTAAATTTTTTTAAGAATCATCTGAATTGAAGTTTAGTTATGTGGAAGAAGAAAAGTTCAAAATTTTATTTTCATGACTGAAATTGAAAGTATACAATGATTCAGAAATCTGGATCTTCAGAAAAATAATAACTAACCGAGTCAGTTGGATAATAATATAAAATTAAGTTAGGGCTCCGTTAACTTGATCTCTACTTACCGGAGAAAGATTTTCATGCTTTTTCTTTTGTGTTCTCTATAATATTTGATATATTTTTTCTTCCTAGGCTGAGAAGAATGGAGGAATTGGGGCAACTCACTTTCACTGAATTTGAAGTCTCATCTTCACATTGGGTGAACGTCACTCACATTATAGATCCCTTGAATTTCTTTGTGCGACCAATTAAATATGCCAATTTCATAGGGTGCATAGAGCGCACCTATCCTCAAGATAAGCCACATTCATTGAATACATGCGATTTGATTTTGTTTAACTTAGAATGGACAAACAAGGTGCCAAAGTTTGCTCGGGGCCAAGTGCACTTCATCAGCAACGCCAATGATGTGATCACGTGTGACATCATAGCTTTGGATTACGGTAACCTGGTCAAGGATGTACCGCTCTGCCACATATGGAGACTGAACGAGACTTATAGGAACATGCCGCCGTTGGCCGTTAAATGCCAGCTACTATACTGTTTCCCCAAACACGGGAAGGAATTCGGCCATCACGCCATAGAGGCTTTCAAATACTACGTCGGCAACGAGAAAGCCAAGATTATCGTCGAGAACAAGACAGCTGATAAATTGACGGTGGAGATGTACAATTCGGGCCCCGATGATATAGCCACGTTACTGGCTATGACCGATTACACCAGGATGGGTTACGTTGAGCCCAGCGTCAGCAAGGTCAACAACGAAATGAGCAAGAATCTCGTCTACGCCTTCAGGCAGTACAAGGTCGGCCAGACGATCCACGTGAAGGTTTTGAGCGGCGATATATACAAGACCTTCTATGTAGGCGAAGTCCACGATTTCCAGACTTATAGGCATGAGTTGGAGAATTTCGCTCACTTCGCCAATAGAGGCGATCAGGTGAAGCCTTTGCCACGCGAACTCATGCCCGGTACACCGGTGTTCGTGAAGGAGAACGAAGTGATCTACAATAGAGGCATCATTAGAGAAGTGACCGTGCCGTTCGTTGTGGTATACGTCCACCTGGTGGATGTAGGCCGTAACTACCAAGCGCCGGTGTACCACATGCGTCACATGGTCCGCGAATGCATCGATATGCCGCCTATCTCGATCTTCTGCCGCGCTAATGAGAGACAGGCTCAAATTAACAGCGGTTATGCTAGATTCATTCAGCCGGGGAACGAGTTTCTGATTACCTTCGAGAAGCTGGGCTATGAATACAACATACCACATACAGTATTCATTTCTCCAATAGAGAGAGCCACCCCAGATGCTGGTCGTCAGCATCGCCGCAACTAATCTATGATTAATCAATATTATTGATGTCAATTAATTTTTAATTTACAAAGACTGCTTAATGTAAGATTTTTTTGCTCATTTACCATTTAATATTATAATAGACTGAGTCTTAAAAGACGGTCCTAAGTGTTAGAGTTAAGTCTGTCCAGGGGATACTCTATACCCCGCGTATTGTATTATTATATAAAATGTGATTTTATGTAATATTAGTCTTAATACTACCTGTACGGTAGGCGACTTTTATAACCATTGGCTGTACTGTATACGTTTCAGACGTTTTATCTATCTGAATCAATCTGATTGTATTTAACCTTTCCTAATTATTCATTGTTGGAGAGTTTATTATTTTTATGTAAGCATATATTAAAAAAGGAATGTGATTCTATTTTTTTAATATTTTTGTTATTTACTAATTTTGATTTTATAAGAAAATGGTTTAAGTTCTAAATTATTACTGTTAGAAGGTGGATGTTATTTTTTTTAATAAATGTATTTCCTTCAGTCGTGAGTTTTATTTGGTTATAATTTAAATGCTATCTCTCAAGTCATGGTTATTTTAAATAAATTAATTAGTTTTTAACTGAATTATTATTGATTATATGATGGTCATAGTATAGAAAGGGACAAGAAAGGTATTTAAGGAAACTATTTTAGATTGAGGAGGTTGTGCCTATAAAGTTAGCAAAATTTTGGATGTTTATTAAGTGTAAGTTATTTGGCTATTGCTGGTGCCGCCCTTGATTGGGGAAAAGGAGATGGACAAGGTGGGAAATAGAGGGAAAGGAAAGGGTGGGAAAAGGGAAAGGCCAACCGACTCTCCCACTCACCGGACGAAACGCAGTCATTAAAGGCTACTTCACGCCGATCTTCTGCAAGAAGGTGGTACTTCCCTGGTTTAGCCAGCCCATGTTCGAGCTGTAGTAACTTGACCACAGCTAGGCTCTACCACCTCATAAAGTCTCTGTGCGCGGATGAAGTATTTAATTAAAATAACCAACAAACCAACTAAAGTTTTTACTTTGAATGTCATTCTTATGTCCACTGATCGGGTGATTTCTTCACGATTACAATTTATTTATTCAAATAATAGTCTGTTTAATTATCTTCCTCAGGATTAGCTATGCACAGTTGTCAAATTATTCAAGGAGTTTTATTTTGCTGCATAGTTATGTGTTTGTGTCTTATGAAGGTTTGTGTCTTATGAAAGCTGTCAAAAGCACTTTTATATCTAAGACTTCCTTCTCAATCTAAATGCTGTTTGTTGGCTTTAATACAGTACTTAAATATATTGTTCAAGGAGACAAGGCTCAATTTTGAATGTCCGGAAATATTGGTAATGAAGAGCTTTATAATGGTTTATTTGTTACTATGATATTAAATATTCTACAGGTTGAGTGGACTGTACCACGTATTCCTACATAATTATGAATATAAATAATGTTGACTGCTATTAGGGCGAGACAATTAGCTGTTTGCTACCTCTCATCTTAGACACATATTTTATTAATTATTTAAAGAGGCATATAAGTCTGCAGTTTTTTTATGGTTATTTTGTCACCTTATTAGATTTTCCTTTCTCTTGGAGCTTCATCAGTTTTCCAACCATACATAGTGGCACAGATACCTACTATTGAACTATTATACCTACTATTTGTAATAAAAGATTTAATTTGATGTTGTTTTTGAGATAATTTTGTGGTTACCAATTTCCGTCTTGATTGGCAATATTTTCATTGTAAATTAAATAAAAGTTACATTCTCCAAACTCTGTAAGGCTTTAAACTTAATTTTATAATTGAACCACTATATTACAGTTTTGGTTTTATATTTTCAACTGAGTTGTAAAGTTTTATTATGTTATTGTACATTAATTTTCTATATAAAAATTAACCGCTTATATTTTTAGGTTGAGTGTGGTCATTTTCTTTTAATTTCAAGTAAATGGATTTTCTTTTCAATGATCAGCGGAACTTTATATGTCGAATAATTCTACTGTAAAATTTCTATCTTCATCAGCTATTTTGGGTTCATCTGTTTGAAGCTGAAGTTAAATATAACTAGTTTTCGTTTTGAACAGTATAGAAAACTCCTAAAAAGTTGAGAATAGTAGTTGTAAACTACACAGAAAGTTTTCCTAAAAGTTCCTTAGTTAAGAAAGATGCAAAACACACACATCTACAACGTGGCTATTTTATTATTGCAGGCGTTATGGATTTATTCATAAACCAAAAATAAACACATAAACTCATTTAATTTCACTGACAAAAAGCTGAGTAAAGAAACAAAAATATTTAATGGATTATTATGCGTGAGTTAATATTTAAATAACAAACCAGAGACATCGTTTTTGACAACATCCTTATCAGGGGATATTTATAACTACGTCAAATTAAATAGGATTTTTAAATAGTCAGATAATTTCAACCTTTTAATTACATTATAGAAAAGACGAAAGATAACTTTTCTTTAAAATTGATGACACTGTCAACTTCCATTAAAAAAATATGGAAAATTAAAAAATAGAACAACCGATATTCATTTTCCAAAGCTTTCATTAACTTAACCTTTTTAATTTCATGCTCTTTAGTTACTTCTTTCATACAGTGGCTACGTCTAAGTGATTAATAAACATTATTCCAATTAAGTTTTCAGTGAAACTTTGAAATCGTTTACTTTCACTGATATTTTAGTAAATAAAAGTTATTACGAAATATAATGAGGACGCCATTGATTCATTTCTTGCCTGCGGTTGTATTGCGCGCGCACGGCGCTACTAAAAGCGTTATCGGACGAAACTTACGACCAGGGACTCGCGATGTCAGTTTGAACAAGAGCCAGTGATATAACTTCAACGTTACACCTACACGGTAAGTTTAATATGAAATTTTAAATAGATTCTGAAAAATACATTGCCAGCGAATTATATGTGTAATAACATTGGTTTAAGAATTGATTTGGCTTGTGGTTATTTTAAAGTGGTGTCCATAGCTGAGTTGAAAGCTGTGCTTCTGAAGAATAGTGGTTTTTGGTTTGAGGAGTTTTGGGGTGGAATTTTCAGTTAATGTTTGTTACATATGAAGTTGTTGTATACTTTTATATGCCAGCATGTTTACTTTTGATAAGATAAATGTCTGAATCAGTCAACGAACATTTAAATGTGAATTACGTAATTTTTTTTTCTTCAATTTGTTTTGTCTTTTTTATTAATCGTATGATTTTTGCTCGCGAAATTAATTTTTGCTTATGCTTAAGCTAATATTGATTATTTATTTATAAATTTGATAAGAATCCCAAAAAAACAAATATATATTTTCAGACTGACATTGACAGTTGAAAAATTTAAATTAATTTCATATTCAAGCTTGCATCAAATCACTGCCATTTTGACAATTCGTTTAACAGATTATAAAGTTTAAAATACACATAAAAAGGTACAATTATACAACATTCTGCGATTGTTTTTGCCTTGTAATTATACAGGAAACATGTACAATGTATAATATGTACAATTGCAGTCCCATCATTTGACGTACTTGACAAAGGTTAATTGAGAGTTCTGTAACCATCAGATATAATTTAAAAACGGCATACCAATAAACTAATAGTTCTTGTTTCATAAGTTGCTATTCTTAGAACTAGTTTACGTTGACAAAGAAAACATTAAGCGTTTCCAGGCTTAAATATGCGTGTAAATTCGTCCTAAAGTTAAACTACGGATATTTTTTAGTGTTCAGTTTATGATGTAAATAGTCTAAAGATTGTATTAACAATCTTATCATATTAATTTTAGTACAATCGTTCCAGTTTTCAACGAAATAATAGACAAATATCCCTATATTAATAAAGAAGCTTTTCATTTATTACCTACCAATAAGTGAGTCAGGTTTCAATCGATTTTAAGCTACCCATTTTCGGATTTCCCGAACTTAATGATGCGAGTACAGTTTCTACTTTAGCAATAATTCTCTGAATATCGAGAATTAATTTAAAGTGACCTTATTTTGCGTATTAAAATTTGAAAAGCTTATCTTTTGTACAAGTTTTTTATATATCAACATTTACAAACATATTTTATCGTAAAATTTATCAATGAGCCCAGAATATGTTCTTTTCTTGACCTTGCACTATGTAACTATATATATAAATACATATATATGAGTATATATTATATAAGTTAAAAGATTACATTCATTATGCTGTTTATTTTAAAGACGGATAAAATAATGGAAATGAGGAGGAGTACATATTAAATAAGACCCATAATATTTTTTGACATTTCATTTGTTTTAAACTACAATAATCATTTAAATGAAACTAATATTTTTCGGTTATACTACGCGTGCTTAATCTCATCTGCCCGTGATCATGGTTGCTGAAAAGTAGTCGAAACGTCGGTAGTATGTAGTTTTTTACAAAGATAAAGCAATAGTATGTACGAAAAATATTAGTTTCATTTAAATGTACACTCACTAAAGTCTTAGTTCTCATTAGAACTATAACCAGTTACGTCAAAATTGTTTCGAATTACTTTAATACAATTTATTTAAAGGTAGTACTTGTTTGAATATAAGTAAAATTATATCGAAAATATATATTATAACTATTGTAAAGAAATATAAGTATATGTATGTAGAGCATTAATATTCTTTATATGTATGAGACCTACTGCAAACAATGCAGGCGCGCATCGCTTCTCAATTGAGTCGGAACAATGAATTCTCCGGACGGCTTATACGAGTAGGTTCAATACCGATTTACTATTACATATTCATTGATTTCTTTCTGTACTTTGGACTAGGAAACTTCAAACAGATATTATTTACAATTTTTAATAATAATATTACAAATAATGTAGAAGTAATATAAAAAATTATATTATATTGGGAATAAAAGATCGAAATTAAATTTTGTTATTGAAGATCAAGTATAGAAGTATCTTTTGAAAATGATCGATTAAAAACTGAAGATTTTATATTTTATATTACGTATATTATGTATGTAATTAAAATATGGAATTCAGTTTCAAAAATTTTGTATTAATGAGAACATTATAATTTTAGGAATAAATGTGTACATGATTTTTAACGATAAAAATGTAAGCAGTAGAAATCGATGTAATATTTAAATCTACTTTTATAATATTTTATTAAGAACAATTAATTGTGTATATTAAAATATTTGCAAGGAAAGCAGTCATTAATTTCACCATCATAACTGACTACAATTACTCTTTAATATACTCGTTTATCTAATACTAGCTTTCCACCCGCAGCTTCGCCCGCGTGGAGTTCGGTTATATCGCGTTTCCAAGAGAACCTTTCAAAAGTCTGGGATAAAAACTATCCTATGCTCTTTCTCAAGGTCAACTCTATGTCTGTACCAAATTTCATTAAAATCAGTTCAGTAGTTTAGGTGTGAAAGCGTAACAGACAGACAGAGTTACTTTCGCATTTATAATATTAGTAGGGATCCATTTAATAACCAGAACATTTTCTTAATAATTTTGGCACAACCAACTAGAATACTCACAAATTTATTTATATAAAACTCCAGAAATATAATGGAATATTATTATTTTATTTTCGTAAGTTATTATTGAACCTAAGAATTTTAAAAGGAGTGAGTTTTGATGTTATCAAAGTGTCATATTATTACGTGTGGCGTTCTAAAGTATGTACATTGTACAGTGATGTGGGTTGAATCAAATGATAGATATAATTTGTTTGGGGGAAGATGTTGCACGGATGCTGATGTAACACGACGATTAAGCTTTTATCTCAGTTTTATTTATATAATAATGTATTTCTTATCAATAATAATAATAGTTCTTGGTACACACAGAAGTAATTTTCTTTACAAAGCCATTATGTTTCATAAACTTTAATTGTTATAAATGAATCTATTTAAATTGAAGGGAATATTATCGTTTCACATATATTATGTTTGAATGAAAATAAAATAGATTATTTAAAGTTACGTATACCGTGGTTAGTGGTTGTCGAATCATTAAATCATATGACAGAGTGACAACCTGTAAAAATAGATATAATTCCCATGTTTCGGGAGACGGGAAGGACTTCGTTCAACTCAATTCTCAAGCTACAAGCGGCAGTCAGACGCACCATCTCGAACAAGACGCATGTATCAAGAGCTATCTACACATAATATTTTGTTTTTGCCGTGAAGTTTATCGTAAGTTACAGCGACTTGTATATTATATTTTATTTATATATATAGTAATTATTAATTCTGATAACTCCACCGCCGTCGGTGTCATCTTGTGCTTAGCGAATCGACATTTTTGTACCTCAATTGTCTCAGTGAGTTTTAAATAGCTCGAGGTCTTTACATAACTGATGGACAGTTTTTCACGTGGTTTAGAAAATTACGATGAACTGCTTCTGCGAGAAAAAAATATTAATTTTTGAATATAATTTTCTTAATTTTTGTTTCATTGTTTTAGGAATTTTTCTGTTACATTTACAGCAAGTTTTATGACATGTTTGAGCATGGATCATGTTTTAGAGTTTGGATTTTAACAATTGTAATTTGTTAATTCATTTTATGAGAACCACAAAAATAAAAAACGAAAAATATAAGAGATGAAATTTATTTTGAATAAAGTTTAAAAATTTCTTAACATTACTTAAAAATTCAATGTTATGTAAATGAAAATACATCGGAATTTGATCGAAAAAGATGAATTGTTTTGTAATCAGAGCTATGTTTGTTAGTAATGAAATGTCTTTTAAATGTGTAGTACATATTGAATGGAATTCAAATCATAGCCACATTTGAGCTGGCAGCTGTTTAATTAATGTTTGATAACGACGCCAGTACAATAATGATTATATCACGAGAATAATAAAAACAAGATTAGTATAAGAAGAAAAGATTCTGTGATATTTGATCCAAAATATATTGTTGCTGAAGCGACTGTGTCTTAATATTTGTAATGCTCTTAATAATTCCGCGTTGAATATTGGAGTACATTGAATTAAATGGACGATACTTTGAATTTACTAAATCAAAAGTTAATGGGAAATAAATTTTGGTTAATAATTGTGCTTTTTATCGTAGAAAAGTGTTGCCATGGATGAAAGAGGAGAGACGGTTCATCTTCAGCCAGTTCCTGATTCTCTTGAGAACCCGTCGCCATTGCCCGCCAAGTATGTATCATCTGTGGTAATCTTGGTTATAAGAGTAGTCAGATTCGAATTTTCACAAAAGTCATTTTATGAAATTCTGTTTTTTGAATTTAGTCTATACTAATATAATTTGTTAATTTGTTCGAGTGACATAAGGAACTAAGAAAAATGGTTAGCGTCAAGTATTTCTTTTCAAGGGCAAGCCTATTTAAATCATTTTAAAGTTTCCGTTCTTGAAATAATTAGATTAACTTAAATAGACCTTGAAATTGTTTTCCAACTCTTTAGTTAGTAATAATAATTACTTATATATAATATATTTAAAATGAATTGCCTGTATCATTTATAAGCCGAGTGTATCAATGAAGACAAATTTAAGACTTAATTTACTAATTCAAGTTTTTTTGTATGCCAATTATATAAATGCTATAAAAATGTAAATTACAGTTTTTTATGTATTTTTTATATTCACAGAGAGGATTCCGATGAGGACTACGATCCGCACGAGCATAGACAGTTGGCTAAACCTACGAAGTGAGTGAATTGAACTTAGGTTCAAATACATCAGTTAAAATGACTAACAATCAATTGACGTTCATCTATGTCAGGACACACCTCCCGACGTAGCTAACGACGACCCATTGTGTGTTAATTGAACTAATTTAAAAACTACCCACCCTTACGTACTTATATTGACGATTTCGGACAATTTAAATTGCTCTGACTTCAAGTGAGATTTATAATAATTTGATTGGACCATTCTTAATAATCAATTTTGATAGGAATGTGTGTAAAATTCGTTTTTGTCAATATAAGCCTATTTAAAGATGGGTAGTTATAGTTTTTTTTGTGTATCCTAAGTTTTGTTACAGTAATGCGGAGACGTTGATTCATCTGCTGAAGTGTAGCTTGGGAACTGGTATCCTGGCTATGCCACAGGCCTTCGCTCGAGCTGGTCTGGTCACTGGGATTTTAGCCACTGTGATAGTTGGAGTCATAGTCACACACTGTCTCCATGTTTTGGTATGTTTTTGGCTCTATATGTTTTTTATTGTATTATTTTGAATGATTGCGATAGTTTAAGTGATATGTTTCTTCAAATATATTAAATAATGGTACTTTTGGTTAGGAATTAAATTAATGTTGATTATTTACACTAACATATGTTGAGGTCTGGGTAACTACATATATATTCGAACGAGAATCATTTTGTTTGGGCAAACATGTATAGTCATTATAGAATATATGTAACAAAAAGGTCCTTAGGGAAAACAGTAATTAGAACCAGCTAAGCGATTAATTTTACTTCTCATCACAACTCGTCTTAGTGGTCATCGTTGAAAAGTAACCGGAACGTCGATATTATGTAGTTTATAATAATATTAGTTTCAATCTCATTAGAAAGTCTTGAAGCTCATTACATTAATTTAAATGAAACTAATATTATTCGGACACATTATACGTGGTTTATTTTAGATAAAAACATACTTCCGACGTTTCGGTTACTTTTCAGCAACCGTGATCATCAGACGAGATGTCATTACATTAAGTTTAATTGATTTTCCTATATTTTCCTTATATCAGGTAAGATCTCAGTACCAAGCGTGTAAACGTCTCCGGGTTCCTCTCCTCACGTACCCCGAGTCGATGTCAACAGCCTTGGGCTGTGGGCCGGATTTCCTTCGTAAGTTCGCTCGACCTTCCGCCCTGGCCGTGGATATCTTCCTCGTGGTCTACCAGCTGGGAATATGCTGTGTCTACATAGTGTTTATAGCTGATAACATAAAAAGAGTGAGTTATTATAAATATATATGTATTAGTTGTATGAAATTTATTGATTTGTGGGTAGTTGGCATTTATTTTTATAATGGTAATGCAACAATTAGTTATTAACAGAATCTAACATGAACTACTAGAATTAGGCTTGTAATTCTTCGAACATATACCTATATATGTATATTAAATGTATATTATATAGATACTATGATATATAGAGCGTCAATTTAAAACGATTTCATCATGCTAGTATAACGTACACGCCGACTATCAGCCGCCGGTTCATTGAGACCAATTGCGGACCCTTGCGTCATACAGTCACGTACGGGAACAGTAATCAGAACCTGGGACTTTGATATTGATAAACGTGCGTGGATTGTAGGTCAAGCTCATTCATTGGCAACTAAAATTTATATTAAAAAATTTATCCTTTAATAAAGAAATTCATTGTAGTTTTTGGTTTATTTTCTCGTTAAAACATCCATCGTTATTAATCGGTTACTAAAAGTTTATGAAAGTATTTTATTTTACAAATTTTACTCGTTAATTGTCATTGAAAACAGCTGATACTCTCTAACTACTAGAGAATATTAATTGCTTAGCTTAAAATTAATGTAAGGAAATTCTCTTTTAAAAGACAGCAATCGCATCGAAATGATTCGATCCATTTGAGTTATATACACACAAAGGACTGTCTTAAATTTACGACATCTTTCGGCGAGAGTCAAAAATAAAAATTTATATTAAATTTATGATTTTATGTAAGAGTAATATATTTTATTAACTTCTTTGTCTTCTAAATTACCTTCTGGGAATATTATACATAAATATGTTTTAATTTAATATTTCAGGTTTGCGATCCATATTACAATATGGCGGTTGAATTGCATATGCTGATAATCCTACTGCCGTTGATAGCCTTCAACCTTATTCCAAGTCTTAAGTTATTGGCGCCATTCTCCGCTCTGGCCAATGTCATGACTTTCGTTGGTTTGGGTATTGTGGTGTACTACCTGCTTTCTGGTGAGAAGAAATCGGATTCGCCTTTGGACCTATGGGGATCTACGGCGACTTTTCCGCTGTTCTTCGGGACTATTCTCTTTGCACTTACCGCAGTTGGTGTGGTGAGTTGCTTCTACTAAATAATTTAAGGCTCAGTTATAGTCGAAATGTTCGTTTCTTGAAATCATTTTGCTCGTGATAGAGTCAAACAAATTCACATTTCGAATTTAGTTAAAATAATAGAATGCGAAAATTCCGAATAATATTAGTTTCATTTAAATGAGTACTCTCAAGTCTAAGATCTTATTAGATAGCTAAACAGTTTGTAAGTCATCTTCTCATCTCAACTCAATTTTCTCATCATAATCATCAGGTGATTACGGTGGAGAACAACATGAAGACTCCCAAATCCTTCGGCACTCCTTGCGGTGTCATGAATACAGGAATGTTCATCATTGTATTATTGTACGTGGCGGTCGGAGCATTGGGTTATGTCTTCTGTGTGGACAAGTGCAGCGACTCTATAACACTGGACCTGCCTCAGAACAGCCCGTAAGAAACATATAGCTTACTTTATAGCTGATTTTATATAGCTTATTTTGAAGCTGGTTGCAGCTTTTATTTGAATAGTCATAGTTTAAGCTTTGACGTCGTTGAGTTAAAAAATTTGTTTGTTAATTCATTAAACTATCTAACTATCGGAATTTTTGTTGTGTTGTTTAATATAAAAACGTTATTATCTGTAAATGTTGATTTCTATAAATTATTTTCAAATTGCGTAGTGATTTGAAAGTCTTGCAATTTAAAAGAAAGTCTTATTCAAATGTAATGATATTTAATAAGAATAATTTTGCGTCTCAGAGACATACGTAGAGTTAATAAAAAAAAATGCAGTATCTATTGGTTTTTAAGCCAAACATTTTTGTAAATTATAAAAATTAATAGCATAACTTTAAGTACCTTCTATTTGTAGTATTTCTTGAGATTTTTCGTAATTTAAGCACTCCAAGTACACGTCGGAACATTACTTACGAAACGTTAAAAGTTAATTATTCACAAATCTACTCACATTGTAGTATTAACGTAGTTTATTGATGAGAAACGGGAAAGACTTAAAATGTAGTGTGTGAACTTGTGGTAGGCATATTGGGTTACTAAATTTGATTATCTCTATATATATAACATTTAAAATCCATTATAATATATTCAACATCTATTACTAGCACTATTCTAAGTAACTTAAATAATATTTCAAATGATTTATTAAATTTGATTTTTGTATTCACTTGATCAAATACAAATCAGAACTATAAGGCGAATATTATCTTTGCAAGTTAATTTTCAACTTAAAAATACATCTTAATCTATCTATCTATCTGCCTATCTATTAGATTGGATTAACTTATTAATACATATAATACATGTATTTATTTCCAGTCTAGCCACCAGTGCCATAATAATGTTCGCGGTGGCCATCTTCATCAGTTACGGCCTGCACTGCTACGTGCCCGTGGAGGTTCTATGGAAGGGCTACGTCCTGCCTCGCGTTGAACGATCAGCGCCAAACAAAACAAGATTCTATGAATATGCACTTAGAGTATCTCTTTGTTTGCTCACATGTGAGTATCGAGTTTGATTTAATATTGTTGATAGTTTTTCCTCTTTATAATTTCTTGATAAGGCTTTCTTTTTCTTCAACTGAACTGAACAATATTGGTGGTAAAAAAATGTTGGGTAAACTTGTGCAATGAATATTGCGTATCTATGGAGTAAGGTAAGGTAATTTGTCTCCAATATTTGACTCAGTCAATAAAAAAACTGTTATTATGGAAAGGCTTTTACCCTGATATTCTGAATAAACCTCAATGAATATTCCTTAATAATTTTTCACGTTCATAGATAAAATGCCTTCGATGTGAGCACAATAATTGGAACTTTAGAGGTATAGATTCAAAATCTGTTTTATGGGATGAGTTGCCAGGAGTTAGTAATGGAGTGACGTTAGAATTATACTTTATTAAGAAACTATGTAAATCAACTCTTTGTAAAGTACCATCTCAGTCAACTATAGATCATGAGATTTTTGAAAGTCAATTTTGTTCAGCAACCTTCAAATCCGGTTCAGATTGTCTTACGCCAAGATCAATAAGAGTTACTTGTTTTAATATAAAAATTCTGAAATGAAAGTTACTTAAAAATACATACATCTTGCACTAAAATTGATCATTATGGGTTTGTACCAAATATGATTCTTTTTATTGCATTAAGAAAGATGTTTTGAGTTGACTTCTAGTTGCTTTTAAAGTATGTCAGTTAGACCAGTAGTGGACACAAAATACTGATCAACTAATCTATTGAGTTTTGATGTTTTGAGTGGAAGCTTAGAATGAAGTCTCAGCGACCATCTTTAATAATAATTAAAAATTTACTACAACCTGGTCTAAGGTCCAAGATTTTCACAAAATTGAGTTTCATCGTTAAAACCTTATTTTTTAATGGCTTTATTAAGCAAAGTATAAATTAAGAACGTCATCATAGAGAAAGCTATATATGTATATGTATTTTTGGTGGCTTGCTAATATCTGCTAATGTCCTAGCAGATATGAGTGTATTAAACATAGTTTTGAGTGAAAGTGTGAGAAAACCAAAACGAATACAATTGTTTTTGCACAGTTCTTTATCGGAATAAAATCAAATTGGGTCATCGTGATCACTTTTTGGTATCAAGGACAAAGCACACGTTAGAGAGAAAATAAAAAAAATGTGTGCCTGATAAAAATATATAAGTATTATGTTACTTTCATGAGAACACTCTACATACATTTTATTACATACTCTTGTATTTAGCATATATTATGAATGAATTTAACTATGTTCTTAGAAGAATATTTGTGTAGATTTTAGTGGCATTGCTAATTACTTAATGAGGCATACAAAACTATCCTCCATTACTTGAGAATTCCGTTTGATATTTCATGTATTAATTATTTATTAATTTTATATATCCAATACGCTGATCAGTATAAGTATGAAAAATACATAATAATATATACATATATCGTTTATTCTATACTAACACGAGATTTTAATTAAGATAATGATGACGATAAAATCATCCGGTTACACTTTTTTTAAGTATCATATAAAATATCTGTATACACACATATAGCTATTCTTAATCCTACATTTTGTTCCACAGTCGTACTAGCGGTGGCCGTACCACGTCTTGGTTTATTTATATCGCTGTTTGGAGCTCTATGTCTGTCCGCGCTTGGGATCTGTTTCCCAGCACTAATGGAGGTCTGTCTCAGCTTCCCACAACGAGCCAGCACTTCCAGGAGCCTGCTGTTCACTAAAGACGCCATCCTCTTCATAATCGGCATCGTGGGTCTCATAGCGGGCACTTACACCGCTCTACACAGCATAGTACGCTCTTTCACATAGAACTAACCCAATGGTTTCAAACGCACAAATTTTATTTATTTATTTAAAGTATTTTATATTTACCTATAATATGCTATAAATTGTTATATTTATTTAAGTTTTAAAACTATGGTTGTGTGTTTGTTCGCTTATATCCCTGGATATGTGGAATAGATTCACGTGAACTTAGTTGAAACCGCAATAGTGAGATCAAAGAACAATATCATAGTATAATCATGATTATAGAAAAAATATTATTAGTTGAATAATTTTTATCGTGTTTCTAGTTATTTATTTGAAAGATAATAATTGTTTTGCTAGGAATTGATTGTGAATGGCTGTGCGGTTAAAATGAAATATACATATTAAACAGGATACACGAATGTATGGTACAAATTACTATAGCGACCAAAAATATTAAATGACTATATTGTGAGGTAATCAATATCTGGTGAAGTATTTTGTGGGATGTATTTTTATATTGAAATGTCTGTGAAGAGCCGTGTTTGTTATGTTACGAGTTATAATTTTTAAATTAAATAATATATCTAATATATGCGTTTGATTTATCATCAAAACCTATTTATGTACATCATTGAAGAACTATTTGAAGTTGAGCAAGAAATACTAAGTAATTTTTCTTTTGTATGAGGGTAGATTGCATTTTTTTAAAATAAAATGTACATAATTTTGGATTATAGTACATATATATAATGTTTTCTTAATGTGCGTAGTGAGGGGTGCGGGTCAATAAAAAGTCTTTTTTGTGCAAGGTACTTTTTACAACGTTTTATTACATATAACAGCGATAGAGACGTTGTCTCAGCATTTGTTCCAACTATACTCCGGCCGCCGGTAATGAATAAATAAACATATATACAACAATTAACGTTTATTTCAATTCATAGAACCATAAATTATATTAATTACTACGTACATCAATATGGTTTTATGTTGTTGCGGTACATTTATCAACAGATAAGGCGAAATCACAAGGTGACATTTGATATATATATAAATATATAGGAGGCGGTGCTTGAACAACAGTACACACACACGGACAGCCCAGCCCTTGTATTAGTAGTAGTCGAGATGGGACAAAGGACGCCATAACATCGGATACATTAATATTATACCTTCAATACATTATATAATATCATTTTGATATGAAACAGTGCATTTAAAAGTTAACGTTTTTCTTTATAATCAACTTCATCATCACAATAAAATTTCCCTCACATGTAAATCTTTATAGAAAAAACAATTTATTGTTCTCGTTTTTTTGTATTCATAAAATACTTTCAAATGCAACAACTTCTTAGTCTTAGTTTTAAACATTAATTTTATTTTGAATTCAATAAACATTCAATTGACTCATTTATCAACGACAAAAACCTACAAAAATATATTATAACATTAGCGCGAGTCTATCAGGGCGTAGGGGAAACGAGGAGAGTAGGTGATGCAGTCGGAGGGTAGAGGGAGCCTACCCTCGAGACGCGCTAACGACAGATATACATACGACTAACAAAAAAAATAATAAAATAAAATAATAATAATAATATAAACTTTTAAAAACGTTAACAACTACAGCCATAACAAAAATAGACTAATAACAACTATACTACGGAAACTACATACTACTTACACTATAAACACTAAGTAAATTTAAAACGAAACTAGTGTTCGCTCACTACGGAAACGACAGGGGGAGACGTCTACGAAGCGAGCCGGAGCGCGGCGGGGGTCGGCGGGGGTCGGGTAGGAGGGGGGGGGTAGAGACGAGGAGAGAAAGAGACAGAGAGATAGAGAGGGAGGGAGAGAGGGGTAGACTGAGGAGGGAGAGGGTGGTGGTGGTGGTGGCCGCCCCGCCGCCGACCGCCGCCGCATTACATCTATCTATATACATCGTAGCCACTACACTTGCGCACGCGAGCCACTTGAGCAAACTAGCCGGTGAGCCGTCCATCACGGCAACATATAAATATTCAACAACTTTAACCACGCCTCCTCAACCAAGCTCACGCTCAACCTCAACTCAACCTCACGCTGGGGACGGGGACACAACAGGCATTATATAAAAACAACGTTCCTCCATTATATAATTTTGGTCCGTACGTCGTTGACTGACCCTGTAGAGTGTCGAACGGTGCCGGAGTAATGTAAGGGTTCGAGAAAACCTTTGGTAGGGATTCACTATATTAAACTAAGGCGATTAACTTACGGTAACTGCGTATCGATTACTTCTATGACGTAACGAGGAATAATAACTTAAAAAAGAAAACAAACAAACAAATAAATCTCATGTCTCTTAAACCAGTCGATTCGCCATAACGTCCCACGGAGGCTCGCGCGCGGTACAGCTTGCAAGTTATAGCTTCACAACTATTTACTACATGTGATTACATAAGCACTTGGGGGAACACATTAGCGAATCGAGTCGTTTACTTTACATTTAGGGGTAGGAGCAGGGTAGCCGGGGGGCCGCTGAACTCACAGCTAACAACATTACATTATAACTTTCAGATTAGTCAGTAGAGTACATATAAACCGATTATTTGAAAAGCGTTAAAAATATACGGGCGCTGTGCCCCAGACGACGCAACGCGCTACGGTGACCGCAATCTGGGGACAATAAAGAATAATCAAAATTAGAAACAGAAAATAAGCCAAAAAAAGTAGGGTACTATATAAAAGTCCCAACATTAGTGTAAAATTTTCATGTGTGTATCAATAGTAGGGGATATTTACATTCTTGTGGCGTGTTTGTGCTAGGTGTCCCGTTTATACGTCCGCGTACTTTGAAAGCTTCTCGCGCAGGATGTGGTTCTCCTTCTTCAGTAGTTCCACTTCCTGCCGAAGACCCATGTTCTGGAAATTAAAGACGGTGTATTAGATTTGGTAATTTTGGTTGATGATAAATTTCACCAATATTGCAATATGTGTTTGTAGGATGAAATTTGGAATTTATTGTCCATATTATTATACAGAGTCTGTAACTGGCAGTTTAGATGACAATGTAGTCAAAGAACTAGGAATATTCGTCAGCTTGTTGAAAAATCGTCTTCCGATGACGTGTTTTGGGCGAGCTTCTATATCTGTAGTTGTCACAAATGTTTTATCTGCGGTGTATAGGTGTGTGTGTGTGTATGCTCACCTCTTTTTCGAGGTAGCCAGCCCGCAGAGCGATTTGGTTTTCCTTCATGCGGCGTGCGTCGCGCGATCTCTTGGCGGCCATGTTGTTCTTCCGCCGGCGGGCCCAGTACTTGTCGTCTTTCAGGTCATCGGGTACAAACTGCCGGTGACGGCGATATGGGGTTAACACGCCGCGCCACACACTCATACCACCCTTCACCATAATTTGAAGCTTTATCTATACACTGATGCTACCATCATTACCGCTACCAGCAACCTTCGTATTACAGTCACCTTTTTAGTAGAACTCCCTCATTGATGCCAATTTGAATTAAACTAATTAATATTTGTTCACAATTTCGGTTGCAAGTGTCGGCGATTAGAATATGGCATCTGTGTGTAGTGACTAGTTTCTATGTAACTCGTAAAAGATCATGCATACTAACTTCATTGACATCAATCGCATACGAAATGTATGCTTAGATAATAATGTATTGCAAATTTTGCACAAGATCATAGTCCATATACCTTCGGTGTTTTAGGGGTTATATAGTTATTACGTTTCATCAAACCATAAAAGACTGAATCATTATTCAAACGCGTATCACCCATTGGGATATCATCGTCGTATTTTCTACCATGAACTATGAAAATGAAGATGATTTTTATAAGAAATTTGTTCAATGTTTCAGTCTCTTAAAACCTCTTCATCCATCACTAGTGTACAGTGATATACGTAGCAATTGTTGACTCAAAAACACTATTGTTCTTAATCTAATAACCAGGTCAAAATTGCATTCAATAGTTTCAAATGTAAAGTATTAAAAGCATTTCAAAGTCAACAGATGGCTTTGTATATTGTTAGTATATCGTTGAAGCGTTAAAAGCGTTTGTCATGCTTTGTGTGTATCAGAGTATTGTGTGTGAGTTTCGTGTGTGTTAAGTTGTGTGTGTGTGTGTAATTATTTTATATAATAATTATATGTTGTTATGATACTTCATACTTCATACTTAGAAGGACATGTATTAATAGTAATTAAGCGTTAAAATCTGTTCGTATAACATGCATGTAGACCCAAATCCTTTTCGAAAGCTGTTAAAATCTGATCGAATTTTGAAATGTGCAAGTGCCGTGCAAATTGAATTAAAATTACTTTCAAATGTGGAGTTTAGGGAAACAATTTGCTTACATTGTAAACAAAATTTTAATACAGAGAAACTCGTTTATTTCATATACATTTTTTCCATACTTGTTTCGCTAAACTCGTCTTCCTAATCGTGTCTGTAGTGTCACTGTGTGTCTGTATGTGTATTGTGTGGAGTGACGCCGCTCCACGCAGGCAGTTTTGCAGCATGCCGCTAGGAATGATCAGCGCACTAACTTCATTTACCTGTTTCCGGGACTTTTTGATCATAGGCTGGGGCTTGAGCTCCTCGTCTGAGAACGCCCTTGTGCGGGGATCGAAGTCACGACCGGACGACGCCATAGAAAATGCTGCAAATCAACGCAATGGATTCAATGATAGCTGGCCTTGGAGTCATTACGCACCCATAGTACCGTCTTCAATCATAATAAATTGATACATCACTTTGTTTCGTATTAATAAATATTATTTATTCTATTCAAACGTATTAGAACTATGAAGGTATATTTTTTTGTTATGAGTGAATGGTCATGTTATGATGGTCGTCACAAAACTTCTTATTTATTTTATTTAGATGTATCAGTAGTATTTTTTGCCATGACTGATGGGTCATATTATAATGGTGATAATACTCACTGGAGTCGGCCGGTGAGAGTGGCGGGTTGATGGTGTCAGGGCTCATGCAGTCGGAAGGCGAGGGCGAGCGCTCGCGCTTGGTGACCGGCGCCTGCAGGCCGAGCCCCAGGCCCGCGCCAGCGCCGAACGCCGAGCCGCCGAGGTGCGCTCCGCCCAGACCCTCTCCGGGCATGCCATTCTCGGACAGGAACTCGTCTAAGTCCACGTACTGAAACAGGCGTACCGAAGGTCACACGCCGCGCACTGCCGATCACACAGCACCAGACATAGCATTTCGCATGGCACGAATCGCTGGTCAGTTCGCAAGCTTCATATCATCAAATAAACGGCGAGGATCGGATGGTGGAGGCGTGGAGGGGCGCGGAAGCTACTCTATTACCTAATGCGGGCAGCAGGTCTAGAAGCCGATGAGAGACAAACACACAACACGCAGTAGGTAATAAAGTTGAGATTACTGACTTCTTGTACCTTGAGATCTGGGTCGTAGGGTAGCGTCTTGTCCCACAGGTTGGGTCCCAGGAAGGCGGCCTGCGCCTCCCACAACTCGCTGTCATCTTTCTTGTCTTCCAGGGGATCTTTATTGTTCACCGACTTGCCTGCAACAAGCATGACGTCGCCCGGTTACTGCCAGCGGCTTGACAACGGCGAGCCTTGTGTGCTATGCCCTTACCGTGCTACGTTAAGCACATTCATGTCGAGTGTCGACCAAGTCACAGTACAGATATTAAACTATTTATATGATAAGAACCAGCTATTCAAAGTTAACACGGTAAGGTTATATATATATATATGTACATGTGCAATAAAAGATTTCACGGTTGTCAAAGCTGACAGGGACAGGGCTAGTATTAAGGCACAGCAACTATTTAAACATCTTATTAAATGGATCATATTCGCATATTGCAGTCATCGAAAACCAAATCGCTCCAGCAGTTAAAGTTACGTATATACATAATTATAATACAATATGCGTCTTAAATATATACTGAACACTATTCATATAATAAAGTGCTCATAAAAACTAAAAAAAAGAATGCTTATATAAAACCAGATCTATTAATTAATTATACATCAACAACTGGCTAGCATAGTCCTTATTAATCATGTTCTGTTTGAGTAAAAGTTAAAAATATAATATCAATATATAAATGTATGAAACAATAACTAACTACATCGTCGTTACGTGCTAAGACTTGTTAGTATTAGGAAGAGAGCATGTCGATTTGTTCGCACGTGCGGCCGTGGTGGGGGGAGGCGCGGAGTAACATTCACGTGTACAGACGCGTGAGGGGACGACGGCGAGTAGGGTCAGGATTGCCAGCGAAGCCTTTAGATCAATCGCTTCATACTACACGAATTGATTCATAATAAACGAAGGCTATCCTACACAGCTATTGTTCTTTAAATAGCACCTCATGAAAACCTAATACTTTACACGTGGATCATATAAAAAATTATAATTAATTTATTTTAAACATTAACAACATTTCTCAATTATTATAAGCCTTGATTGTATGTAGTACTGGAAAATTCTACATATATATATTAAATATTAAATGTACATTAATTACTATGAGAATGTTTGGTCATATATAATATTATTTTTATGATATTATTTTAAAATAACATTTAAGAAAAATATATATTTTTTATTTTATATTCAATAGTTCATTACGTAGAGGTTAAATATTTATAAAACTATTACGACGTTGTCTAGAAAAGACCTGCCCATTGTTCCGCGACTTACATCCATTACGACGAAAAAAAAATATATAATAGAACATATACATATGTATATCATATATAATTAAATAAATCATGAGTGATATGAAGCGTAAAACATACATATATATGAAAAACTGTTCAGTCAATGATACTATAACACTTTCCATAGCTGTGATGTAAACGGGCCGTAATTAATTCAATATACGGAAACGATCTCGTAACAATAACGAGAACTGAGGCTTCCTAGTTAAAAAAACCAGGAGGAACTGGAGGAAGGAAGTTAGTCGGTTACGTGTGCGACACGCTTTCCCGACGTTATGCGCCTGCGCATCTACCGCGCGCATTATATTACCGTGCAACCGAGCCGTGTATTACGTACTGTTATTTAAATATGACAGCCTATAACAACACAGAATCATAGGAAATAGATAACAATTATTAATTTTTATAAGCTATAATATTTTTATTAAGTTTTGTAGTATAGTAATCGTAAAATATTTTATTATCATCTCTCGACATTCTCAACATTGAGAAAGTTAAATAAAATAAAATACATAAGATATTATTGCTTATTTTGAAATAATAATAATAATAATAATAATGGTGGAAATATTTTTAAATAATCTTTAAGCGGGCCACAAGCACAGATTTATAAAAGGAAGTATTGTGTCTTTTGCTACCTTCCGGACAAACAGCTCTCACTTTCAAGAGAAAGTTATGACTCCATAGCTATGCAATGCTTGCTCATTTTATGATTTGCTTTTTCTTAATATATTTATAGTCATTGAGACTATCATTACGGGATGATTTTGTTATAGCATAATACGAATCGGCTTCCCGTACTTGCTCAATCTCTTTATTATGCTATTTAAAGTATTTTAGATCGTCTAATTTATTTACAACGAATTTTAGGAGTTATACATTAAATTTATAATATTTTTGAGTATATTTTCTTTATAATAATATGCTTGATTGCTAGTCATTCGTTTCATTCAATTCGATATTGAAATGTTCATTCACTCGCTCGCTATCGGAGTTTCTAATCATTATGGCCGCATTATATGAAGATACGAAATGTAAACTCATACGCACGCGGCATAACTTAGTATTTGGCAACGGATTATAAGAGAGAAAGTGTAAGTCAAAACGTGAGAGCACTCTCACTTTTGTCGACCGCTTGCCGAGTGGCGAAAGTTGAGTCGAATCGCTTTTAGCCCCTGTAACATGTTACAATATGAACATCCTCTAAAACTCAATATCTGAAACCAAGTCCAAAACTCAGTTCCTGTAATATATTTAATATAATTCACTGCATAATTCCGATTCGATGGACGCTCACTAGATAATTGGAATGCTCGGCGGGTGGTGGAAAGCATGATTGCGCAACCTTACTTCCTAGTTGGAAAATATAGGTAAGGAGTGCCGCTGGGGGGCAGGGAGGGGGGGGGGGGGAAGGAGGAGAGGGGGGGCGCTGGTGCTGGCTCATCGGGAAATGGTCACTATTATGCAATGGAGAAAGCTAATATGTTTTCCGGTGACGTCATTTTCGCAACTGCGTTAATCTAGAAAGTCGTAAGCGACACCTATAGCAGTGTGGGTTTTTCCAACAAACGAATAGCGTCCATCAGTTTTTGGTGATAACGCATTGTTGGTAAACAACTCGAGGAGGCCAGTGGTGCGTGAAGCTAACTGTCAACACGGCCGCGTGTCTAATGCACACACACACACACACACACATGTCACACACACACACACATGTCACACTCGTCATCAACGTCAGATTGATTTGACATTTAGTGAAAACAATAGTTTGTATGCTGGCTAATGAAATTAGCGTGAAATTTATATGACGTATCTTATATACATATATTAAATATGTATGTTTTATATATGTGTATATATAAATATGTAGAAATATGACAAAACAGACAATAGCCTCTTAATAACAAGATGAAAGAAATACGTCAATTGCATTAAATACACATGCAAGTGTTATGATATAAGAATTAGATGTGTGTGTGTGTATATATATATATATATATATATATATATATATATATATATATGTGTGTGTGTGTGTGTGTGTGTGTGTATGACATGTGCGTGTGTGTGTGTGTGTGTGTGTGTATGACATGTGCGTGTGTGTGTGTGTGTGTGTTCTTTTAATAATTTCAAGGACAAGCGGATCTCGGAATTAACAAACAAAATAATTTAATTATAACACGCAACGCATAATAAAACTGTTTGAGACGCCCGCTTATAATAGTGACACGAATATTTGAATATTAGAGTAAAAGCATAGAATAAAACTCGTTAAATTATATTAATTTTATACGTTATAAATATTTAATTTGAACGGGCGAAATCTAGAAAGTTATAAGGAAAAGTTTTTATATTTTTACATATTATATGTATAAACAATAATTATATATAAGTTTTAAATAATTATGATATTGTCATTTTTATTTAATTTTTATATTATATACTTTAAAAAAATGAATAAATATAATGGTTAGAAGAAGTAGTCTATATGTATCTTACTTTGTACATGTGTTAAATGTTAAAGTGTCAAATTTGTCATAATTGTAAGCATACGTAATTTGTTCGTAAGATTCTTAATTACCGATGGATGTCGTATTGAAAATGCAAGTATTCAAGTATAGACAAAGCATAAAACGTGGAGCAGAGTGCGCGCGCGCAACGTCGGCAGAAAAGTAAAAGTCGGAAGGTTGGTGCGGGGCCTGAGCTGAGGAGGGCGAAGACCGAGGGGGCCCGCGGGACGAGAGGGGCCTAGCGACGCGGAAACTATACCGGAAGATTACTTTTACTCTCACTAGCAAAGCCTTAGCCACCCACGAGAACGCTTTCAAAACTAACAAAATTTTCCTACAATGCCGGATGTGGTTTCGTAAAGGTCGCCCCACGACCTTATATCAGAAGCCCTTCTATGCTAATCACGCACATAATTAACTCGTATTAAAATTGAGCTTCAACTCCTATATGAGTTCCATTCATTTAATCTCTGACCTGTCCTATCATATCGTTTCGTATTGCGCGGTCATAGATATTTTTACGCGGGATATGCAACACTATTTGACGAGTAAAAGATTATTTTTGATTAGATTACTTTCCTATGTCACTCATAGAATTAGGCGACGCGTCATAAGTATAAGCTATATCATTATTTTATTACGAGGACTGGTCATTAGCTGTTGAATGTCAACGAGATATTTAGAACTTAAAAATGTCGTCGTCTGAATGGAATGTTACGTAAAACAATTTAATTTTCAATGTAAACATAAACCATTTCTACAAGGTGACAGGCAGCACATATCAAAATCATACAACGCGTCACGGAAGCGTATCAATACCTTCTATTAAAAATAAATGTTTACAATAATCAAAATTTCCGCGGTGACCTGACCTAATGATAACAATGGCATTGCGGATTTATCTCTATTAATATAGAAAACGTAAATATTATATAGTATGTATGTATTGTAAGTAATATTCGGGTGTAGGTGACGTCACTCATCTGATGAGAGCATTGTCAAGTTTAAAAGTAAAAGTGGCCAGAGAGTATCGCGGAAGAAAACACGTGGCGCGGAGAGAGGCAGCGGGGCGAGGGGTGCGGGGTGCGCGGGCGCAAGGAGAAAGTCGCGAAAAGGTCGCTACTATTTCCCAAATATTCGAAGTGAAAGTGCACAGCCACGGTCGAATTGATCAAAATAAGTAAGAGATTTCAAGACGGCACATTAAATACAATTATCACTAGCATCTGTCTCAGCGGAGTTTTGTTAGTTAGTGTTGATTTTGTATTAGATTGAATAACCTATTATTAGTTTATATATTCATCAGAATATAACCGGTTGGCGATGTAGAAAGTTAACGGGCAAAAAATGGCGATCACGACCGAAAAGCGCAAACGAAATATAACAAAAATTATTGCGATATCTCGAAATGCTACATCCTTATACTTTCTGAGATCGAATCGTGTCAAATTTACACTTTAACACATCCCATAAAAACATATGAGTTATTTGATTTGAAAATTAACATAGAAAGGTATTCCTTTGTGTGGTCAAATATTATTTTGTCATACGAAAGCTAGTGATTGATGTATTTAAATTGATTTCGACTGGGTCGCGGTCAATGGAAACGCTAAGAAATAGGGAGACTAACAACGAACAAAGATCACATACAGCACGTGTAAGATTTGATCTCATAGCTATTAGTTTAAGGAACTGAATGAATAAAATGAATTCAACAATCGACCTTCTTATGATAACAGAAAACGTATCTGTTAGAGAATACATTTGTATATAATTTTAATTAATTTCAAACTTTATAGATGTCTTATGAAATAACAAAGAAAATAAGGTTCAAATCTGTACTATAAAAGATAATATAATTGTGTAGATTCCGAGAAAATAATATATATTAGATCAAAGAACGTGCCACAGTGATTTAAATGACTTAACCTTGCACCGAGGGTAGTTTACATTAACACGCATGTGTACGTTACTGGTATGGTTTCATAAATCGAAGTGGTGATGCTTAGCAACATATTCAGTTTGGTTACACTGGAATATCTGATCCACTTTGAACAACAGAACGAATAATTCATGATTATCTTATTTACAATTATAATTTGTGTCTTTCAGTTTTTAAAATTTGTTTACTAACCGCGTTAAGAGGAGACGGCGGACGGTACATGTCCCGTGGCTTTCAGACAACGTGAATAACTAATAATGTAAACGGCTTACTATAAACGAGTGACTGTATTGAAACTGACTGCAGCGTAATGAACACACAGGTCCCTCTGATAAGGGGAGTATAATAATCTACACTATTTGACCTACTGATCCAACAGACGCGATTTACAGATTGATGCGACTGTCACCGGTAATCTAGCTACGGTTTCCCCAGCTAATAGACACCTACCTGTTTACAGTTTTCAGTGGTTATCCTTTTATACAATTAGGAAATAAGGAACACTTGAAAATTGTCCAAAAATTTTTAAGTAAAATTTTACAGAAATCTGTATTTTTCCGTTTATAAAATAAAATAAATAAAATAAATTAATAAAAAAAAAATCAGCTGAAGAGACACAAAAAACCAGTCAGATTCAGCGGTGGCACAAAGAAATGTCGACAAAGAAAAAAGTTCCGTCCGATGGTGTGTTACGATCGGACACTTTCTCTTTTCAGGTGTCGAGCTCGAGCTGAGCCCAGGTCGGAGTCGAGACGGAGGCGCGCAAAAAATATAATACAAAGAACGGGTAAACGAGGAGCGTTCGATCCCGAAACTGACCATTGACAAAAACGTGCTGCCTCCAAATGTGGTACTGACTCCAGCGATCATCGTCCTGGACGTGGCCGTGCTGCAGCTGCGGCAGCGAGGGCAGCGGCGGCGGCGGCGCCGGCGGCAGCAGCTGCGGGGGCGGCGCCGGCGGGCCGAGCGGCTGGACGGGCTGCGGGTGCTGGTACTCCATGGGGCAGGTGTATTCCAAGCGCAGGGCGCTCCGTCACTGATAACACATCGCGAGAGGCGCGGTCGGCGCTGGCGCGGTGCGCGGGCGTGCGTGCGCGGCGGCGAGCGGCGCGCGAGTCGCCTCCGACCAGCCCGACGGCGCCTGCGCCCCCCTAAACACGCCGCCCCACCGCCGCCCCCCCACGCGGAGGCCTTCGAGCCTCGGACCCCTTGCTAATGACATAATATTGATTCACGATCTCGCCGATGATAACCGATTACCGACACACATAACGCGCGAGTGTGTATACGTTCATGTAAACAAGCAGCGTGCCCTAGCGTCCAGGTCGTCTAGTGGCAAGTTGAAGGGAGGTCGCCTCTCATACACTGTTACTATACATCAGATGATATTAACGATGAGTTTCGACAGACTCTCCGGTGTCCTAAACAATACAATACGCGTTGAATTCTTCGCTACGGTAGAACTTTCTTCGACCACATTTTTTAACCACACCAATAACGTATTTACGAATGAGGAAAAATATTTTATCTCAGTAGTTCTAAGACGATGTGAGTAGAATACATAGAAGCTACAATCAAAACATATTACATTAAAACTAATATTTTTCCACAACATGTCGAACAATGGTCTCTGAACACCAGATGTCCAGATTAGAGATTTGGTTTTTTTAATTTTTTTCGTAGAAAACTACAATGAGTGTAGTTTCTAAACAAGTTACTTCATTGTAGGAAGTTGCTAGAAAATTACAAGCGTCACTTCAATAAGGTTATGGATGTTATTCGACCTTGATTTTCCTTGTCGAATAAATATATGTGATAGCCATGTAATTGTTTAGTTGTTAAAAACTGTCTCACTCCTATTTAATGGCTAGATGTCATGTCGTTACGAGGAAATAGCTTGTGACGGGTTCACGACTCAAGTTGTATTTTAAAATTATAACTAAAAAAACTTTTACATACATAATCAGAACATTTTAATCTGACGATTATCGTATTCTATGATTGATGACAAAAGAATAATTGATAGAAAATCGATGATAATATTATTAATGTCACATTTTTAAAGGATAAATCTGAAGTTTAATAAAATGGTAGCCTTTTCAAATGGATACGAAATCCCGGTCAACATATTGAACCTACTAAAGTCACCGAACTTTTATTGCCATCCAGAACTTTCTGTACTTGAGATAGCATGATGGGAACTTGGAGATTTAACCCGAACTTAGACGGACATGGTTATGCATCCGTAAAAATTGTGATGCATAATCCTAGAGGCACAGGTGTGGCGGCATGCGCATGAGTTGCGCAACATTGTTTATAAAACACAGCCGTCACAGCCACCTGGTGGCCCATTCAATGATGTTTAGAGTTAACGCTCGCTATTTGTTTTTATTATACTTACTTTTAGACTATTATGCTGCTTATGTGTCACTTCTTCGGAGATTTTTATATGAAAACCTATAAAAACATACAGCGACAATAGTTTTGATAAATATAGTAATATTTTAGTGAAATTAGGCTATAAAACAGCATCCATCACAGTTTGAGAGCACGGCCTTTCGAACAATTGGTCCGAAATCTTACAACGGTACATTATCGCGATCTACCGAAACAATTGTCTTAGGTACCCTTGCCGAAAGTTCGGCGGTTTTCACTTTCATGGGGGGCAGGGGGGAGGCGAGCGGGGCCCGCGGCCGGAGGAGGGAGGGGGGGGGGGCGTCCGAGCACACGTTTTGCTTCTTAGCACAAAAAATATAACCACCTTTCCTTTCTCAAAAATGTTAACTTTCACTAACCGAAATCGAACGGCGTTCGTGCACTTTGTAATAGTGACCGACGATGGTTTTAAAACATTTTTTTTTTGACTATTCATATATATAGATATTGGAATTGATTTTAAATCTAAATCTCGTATTGAAGTAATTTATTTTAAGTTATAATATATAATATGACGTTGTTAGAATCTTTTAAAATTTTAATTACTTACATTAGTATCAAAGTAATTTCAAGGATTATTATATGAACTTAGTTTTATTCTTATCACCGAAGGTTGTTTGGTTGTAAAACAAAACAAATCCTTTGTAAGGATTCGCTAAATTTTGAAAGTTTATTAAATATACAGCTTTCTAAATATAACTTGTCCGGTGTCAAATAGTTTGGAGATTTCCATAATATTTAATCTTTTATACATATATATATAAATCAGTTTATTTTTATTCAAATTTCAAACATTATAACCGGTAATAAAGTTGTTTTTGTTTTAACACAAAACGTATATATTTTCATGAATTCATTACAGCAATGAATTCGTATTGTTCGGATCGAAAAACGTGAATCAAAAATGAAACACTTATCAAATATTTATAAGTACAAATTATACATGAAAAATTTGTGTATTTTTTTCAAAATCATTCTGATATTTTACGTGTATGGTATTATTTTTATGGTGTGGTGTGATATGGTATGCGTTGTAAGATCTCGTCTTTTAAAAAAATGTTTAAAATCTCGTTTAAGTGGGGCGGTGAAAGTGGGAGGCTGTACAGAGCAATGTTCCTGAATCGAAAGTCGTTTAGACACTGGACATTACACTGTATTCAATATTTGTTGTTATATATATGTATATTAAATTTGGAGCATATTAATATATATAGTACTTTTATGAGAAATATGTTTTAATCTAACTTATATTTGAATCAATTTTGGTCTGTATTTTTATTAAATAAAAACCATAGTATTAGTTGAAAAAAAATGAAATACTTTTGTAATTATACGTAAGTTTTTGTACAGATATTTAAATAGTACTTATATTATTTTGGTATTTGAACAAAAAGCTTTTTTTTAAATGTGATTGTTTACTTTTATCATCTATATATACCTATATATATGTGTTATTCAAAACCTAGTTGTAATATCTCGTCCTAAATCTATCTGTGAATCGAGATATAGATTAAATTTTCTATCGTATATGTGGCTTGAGTCCACAATACAGGATGCATGTTGAAAGCCTCTGTCACACTGTGTCTGTGGCTACTGGCTAGTAATCTTTCTGATGGAAATATACCAAATGTTTCATGGCTTTGTATATTAAATAACTTGTTATTTAATAAGTAAAGTTTAATAAAAGAAATATTTAAAATGAAAATAGAAGCTTGTCATATGATGACATTTGATTAGAAAATGAATTGATTTCTAATATGTAAAACTAAGATTTTTGAATGTACTACCCGAAATGTAACGTCTCGTTTTCAAGATATTTCATCTCCTCTGTTTGTGATCACGATTGCTGTAAAGTAACCGTCGGGAGTATGTATTTTAAAATAATAAAAAACACGTAGTATACGAAAATTTAGGTAGAGAGAGGACGGTGGAGGTGAGCGTTTAACGCGTTAGATAGGGGCCCTTAAACCTACACCTGGGTCGCAAGTCCCAGTCACTGTTGAAGCTCCTCTCACTACAACGATGGACCCGACACACGCACCGTGAATATATGGAATGATGAGAGGTTTCGTCTCGACTATTAAAATGAGAACTCGCGAAAATTTTAGATATCATTATATATACAATGAAACTATTGAGTTTACGTTAAATCATATCATTAATTTATAATGATTTATTTTTACAAATAAGATTAAGGTATATCAATAAGAAGATTATTATGTACGCGGTTCACGTGTTCCACTACGTTTTACTGACGGACAATCTATAAACAATCTTATATATATATATATACTAGCTGTTATCCCCGACTTCGTCTGCGTAAAAGAAATAAACACTGAAAAACCTTTTAAGAACTACGTCCTGAAACCTATTCGCGCGTGATAACGCTTAATTTTGAGATTGGGATAAAAAGGCTAAGTTACTCCTTTTTACATCAGCTACTTGATAGTGAAACTTTTATCACAATTGTTCCAGTCATTTCAGAGATTAGCCGGAACAGACAGACAGACAGACAACTAAAAATGTTATTTTGGTGCATGTATATACATTTGTATGTAGTAAAAAACGTTTATTTCAATATAACAAACAGACACTTCGATTTTATTTATTTATATATATTAATGTGTCAGTAGATCTGTTTGAATGTAAGTTATCTGTTAGTAAATCAACATTATTTAAAGTTTTCTCATAGTCTTGATGTTATTCGATGTTATTTGTATGCATTTGAGTTGAAACATAGCTTTTATAACAATTTGTGTTGGTGACAAATAACTTTAATACTATATATATGTATATAAATTACATAATATTGTGAAATAATATATATTTGATGTATATACATACATACGAATTTAATAAAAAATATGAAGTATATATGTATTAATAATGATTTTATTGTATCAAAGATATTACACTGATACTTGTATATTAAGGAAAATATTATATACACATATATATATATATATATATATATATATATATATATATATATATATATATATATGTGTGTGTGTTTTAATAGTTTTATATATAAAAAAATCTTATTATAGTAATAAAATATACATTCCCGTTGTTCATGATTCAATTATTCATAGTTTATTTTAATTATTTGTTATATATGTAATGTTATTTGATACGTGTTCAGCGTGAGTGATCTCAACTCAATCTGTACAGCATCCGTTATTTGTTTTCAACCGAATTTTAATATCTGAACGTTGTGTTGTGGAAACGTGGAAACGTCATGGGATTCAGTTAAATGTGTGTAAATGTATATGATTTTTTTAAGTGTTAACCATATTTACATAGTATTTAGATGTTTTTTCTAAGTTTTTCAATTAATACTTTCTACAATCTATATTAAACAATGCAAGCTGATTGTTCTGGGCTGTTTTTGGACTCATCTCTTTCTAACAGAGGGTGGATTCTTAGCCGTATACATGAAGATATTTTTGTATTGAAACGTTTAAAATCTTTTAACAACCAAATTCATTACATCTTGTGATGTATATATATACATATATGAAATATATTCTTTTAATATGTTACTATATACGGTACCATTGCTTAAAACATTACCAGTATTCCATAATCAATACTTGTGAGTCTCCAATCATCACTACCGCTCTATATGAAGGGGATCCTATACTTGCAAAACGATTGCTTACTCACCGTACACTTATACACAGATCATATACATTATAACAACTATTGTACACAACACGATTGCTAGGTACGCCGGCTATAGCCTCAACAGATCATATGTTATACAAAAACTATTGTACACAACACGATTGCTAGGTAGGACTGGTCGCAGTTCAAAGCCTACCAAACATCTCCAGTACCTGAATGACACGGGTAGAACCTCCGCTGTGCGACCGGCGCCGGCTGCAGGAAGCAGCAGTCAGGCTGCGCTGATGCGGAGTCTATCCCCATGTCGATGTAGCCATGACGATCGAGACGAGGCCATCCCCCACGATCGCCTGAGCCAGCGGTTAAACGATCAATCGTGCTGGATGAGACGACCGCTCCCGACAACAGCGAAGCGGGTTTGAGCCTGGCTGCTTCGTGCACGTGTTCACGACGCACGCCAGCCAACGTGCACGCCGGCTGACACGTGACGCTACCTCGCCTCGCCTCGCCACCTCACTACCTCGCCACCTCGCCTCACACCACGACCTTGGAGCCTAATCAAATCCTTCCAAGGGTTTTCAATTCTCATCCTGTATCCTTCTTTCACGAAGTCTCATTGTTTTTTTCTTTACGTAAACGCTTGTGTTTTTATCTATATATAGCAGTCAAACGTGTCCTTGTAGAAAGTTCCAAGTTTTCGTCCTATAACCAACTTTCATGGTACTTGCATTGTGTATTGTTTTTTTCTTTACGTAAACAATTATAGGTATATCTTTATATTATACATATATTGCAGAGAGTTCGAAGTTTTAATCCTATACTCATCCTTCCAGGAATTTTCATGGTTTTTTTTCTTTTAAAGTTATGCATATATCTTTATATATGTAATCTTGACGTACAGACTGATAGTAAGCCTTATACTACGTGAACTTACCTGATATTACTAAATTCACATATTGTGAGAGGAATCTCAAGAACATCATCCAGGTAATCTATTAACACCGGTATAGCAATACTTCTTTCATTCCTTCTGTCAGACTTTCATTCTTCTGTACTTTGACTTTCTTCTGTGAGACCTATTTTTACATATATATTGTGAATACCCCAAATTGTTACTGATTTTTATTATCTTTATAATGTTGCCAGTTACATATAAACACTAAAAATATAATTTTTTCTATACATATATAATTATAACATATTATATTAAAAGTCTAGTAATTATTATAATTCCTAAACTGACAATCTACATTTTCGTAGCGTTTCGTAGCTCGTAGCATTCGTAGCGAGTCCAGATTCGTAGCAGGTTTTAATTATTATACAAAGATTACGTATATATCTATTAATAGCAAGAATTGTTGTTTTCACCACCAGAAGAGGTGAAATTATTTTTAATATAAGAAAAATTTAAGTCCTCCCATGTACATAATTTTCCCTTTAAACTTAACTGTTAGGAAAATACTAAATAATCCAAAAATCTTGTTTTGTTTTTTCGTTTAATATTTTTAGACTAAGACAAGTGGCTTTATGTACTAATGTACTTTTATTATTAAATCAATAAATAATTTAGATCTTAAGTAATATTCTAAGAATATATATACATATATAATATATATATTTAGGAAATGAATATTTGAAAACTTGAAGTAGTTCGCATCGCGTATGTACAGAAATGATATACGAATAAGTTCTATTGATATGAAGAATATATATCATGGCATATGATATGATATGATATAAATAAAATGAAAACAGTGATGTACCAACCGTATTTTTTGTTGAAACCAGCCCCGTGACTCAGGAAATCTGTAAATAACATGCTGAATTTAGAAAAATAAAAACGTAAACTAATGATAAAGTTGAAAATAATAATCCATGAACATGCGTGGTCATGAATAAAATATATATTTGACTCCATGGAAAATTTTAAATGGAACAGAAATGAATAAAATATAGATGTGTTTGTTGTAAAAAAAATATATAAAAAAAGACAAGTAATTTCATAAATAAATGACGCAGCTGTTTGGATTCCGATGGTAACATTAATTAAAATATAGCACGTGATAAAAATTACCCAAGCATGTGAGCTAGTGACGAGTGAAGAGAATCTCGTACAGCGCCATCTCTGGGTCAGCGGAGGAAACTACACGCAGGCCGAGCAACGAGTCTAACACTCCAACTACGTAATGCCAATAACAGCCGCATGATCAGGTGGCGCTGTCAACCACGTGCCTACCATAATAATGAAAAACACAACATACTCACCGTTCCGACTCATAATTAACGAACAACCGCTCCGAGGATTTAATGGGACCCACAAACAATATAATAAACTAATAAAAACTGATTAAAGTAAAACACAGAATCAAAATAAAAAATTTCTTTGAAGACTAATAAATCTACGGTCCGGTCACATGTGCGCGGAATAGCCGAAATGTAGTTCGCGGCGATTGGCGTGTACGGAAATGTCGGTAAAACAGGCAGCCAGCTTATTGGTGGATAGAGAGAATATCGGTAAAACAGTCGCCGTCAGCGCACGTGACATACACACTAGAAGGTCGCGCTTATCTTTCGCATGACGCGTTATAGATGGCGCTAGTTTACATTTTGTTTACAATTCAAGTGGCGACTGTTGAGGTGACATAATTTCACATAATCGTGAGTTGGCGAGTTAAGTTAGTTAATAATAAAAACTTTGTAACTGGTTACCGCCAGCTGAGTTCCTACAAACGTTTTACTCGTACCAGCAATAGTTGCTAAGACACGCGTCGCGACCTTGGACGAAGTATGATAGCATTGGAGTATATGTCGATGCCGCGGAATGAAATAGATGAAACATTTTAATTTTGAAGAGTAAATAAGCAAGCGTTTGATGGTTTAATTATTATAGTTTGGATGAAGTATAACCAAAAACTACATAATATGTAATAGTGACATACTTCCTCGTGATTTTAGAGGTTTGTTTCTAAGCTATTCTTATTTTATTATTATGTTAGCTTACGGGAGTTATTTCTTGAAAACATATATAAAAACTGGCTTAATAAAATCATTCACCGTCTGTGTATGTGGAATTTTAATCTTTAAATACGAATATTCGAAGACGAAACGTTCGCTCCTGTTTACGGTTCTGTACCTATTAATATTTTTTATCTAGCGTTGTACGGCCGAGAAAAAATATCGTAAAAAATAATGTTTACGATTATTTATATCGAATAATACTAAAAATAATACAATGTTTGTTATATTGAATAAAGTACCGAAATGGCTGTAATGGCGTTTGTATTATTACAATATAATTAGAGTTTTTTGTTTAACAGCACTCGAAAACTGTACGCGACTTCTCATAATATTTTTTCGTATAAAAACTCGTGGTTTATAAAAATAAAAAGTACATATAATTAATTACATTTGAAACTAAAAAGAGCAAACAATTCGCGAGTGTTTATAAGGAACTTAGTGTATGCAAATTATGTTTGAAACATGGATTCGTAGAATTAAAAGAAATCAAATGATTATTTTACGGCGGGATAAATGGTAGGTGTAACTCATTTCACGGAAGGTAGCGCAGGTAAAGTATTTAATTGTTAAACAGAAAAAACAGCATGAAGTTAAGTTTCAGATATAAATATATTTCAATAATAATAATGAAGATTTTTTTTTAATATACTTTATTGAAACCTGTAAAAACAAACGTTTGATGATTATTCAATAATGTTTGTTTTAATACGTTGGAGTCATAAAATATAGAGTTTTTATTTTCGGCACATTTAGATCTAATGGCTGCTTCTAAATAAAATTATGAACCATAGTAACCGATACCTGAATAGTTTTCCAGTATTGTAATAAATATCAAGTGATAAAGAAATTTTGAAAATTAAACAATTTCCCGAACATTATTTTCATAAACATTGAGCTAAGATTCAATTATTTTAAGTATGTCAAAAAGGATTAGAATCTGTAGTATTTATTTCCTCATTTAATTAACGTCATCAACCTATCAGAGCCCACTGCTGAGCAAAGTCCTCTTCTCACATGGAGAAGGTTTGAGCATTAATCACCACGCTTGCTCAAGACGGGTTGGCGATTTCAAACTTATAATTGGTTATTATAAGTCTAGGTTCCTCACGATGTTTTCTTTCATCAATCATTGATGTCTAAATACTTTTATAAAGTACATATGACTCGGAACAATCACATCGGTACTAGCCAGGTTTCGAACCCAAGCCATGCACGAGAAGAGTGTCTTTAACCACTAGGCTACTATGACCTTTTTAATTATATTTCATCTAACCAAATTGTTTCTTGAATTAAAGTCAGTAATTCTGTAACAGTTTCTTCCTCCAGCGTCACATTTTAAAGCTACATTTCCCTCGGGTTTCCGTGAGTATTTCGTGTAAGGCTACATAATGTTTACCAGACCGATTAATTAATGATTAGGATGCTACTGCGACCTAGATTTTCAGATAAAACGAGATATGATACGTATAAAATATTAAAATTTTGTGTATAAGCTTTCCTTAGAAAGTATATATAACTCAAAAATTATATAGCTACTTGCCAGGTTTGTAAGTATTTAGATAACACTGACTGATGAAGAAAAACATCGTGAGGAAACCTGGATTTATAATATTAAATTATAAGTTTGATATCGGCAACTCGTCTTGAGCAAGCGTGGTGATTAATGCTCAAATCTTCTCCATGTGTGAAGAGGCCTTTCCTCAGCAGTGGGCTCTGATAGGCTGATGATGATATAAGCTTCTATTCTGTTTCTAACGAGGTGATAATATAAAGTAAAGTGCTTGATGCATACACTACACGCATAAGGTCTTAACGTTAATATTGTTATGAAGAATATATGTCAAGCTGAGAATTTAAAAGGATTGTGGAGAAGCATCACAATAGAATATTGGTCAAGTGCGTTCGTGGCCCGCGGGTCGCATTGGGGCGGCATTGTTTGAGGCTTAGGCATTTCATGTTCACTGAAATTAGGATTATAGCTTGAAATCATTCATGGTTCATATTAATTTATGCTGTTATAGGAGTATAATTTATTGTCAAATAGGCGTCATCGTAAATAACAACGGCTGCAAATTCAAGTACATAGTGCTTTGATATCAAATAATTTAACAGAAACATTTTTATTTCGGGTTAAAAACCTGACAAGTAACAATGTAATTTTTCCGAATCATATGTACTATCTTATAGTATTTAGACACCACTGACTGATGAAGGAAAACATCCTGAGGAAACTTGAACTTAGTCAAATTATAAGTTTGAAATCACCAAGCCGTCTTACAAGCGTGGTGATTAATGCTCAAACCTTCTCCATGTGAGAAGAGGCCTTTGCTCAGCAGTGGGCTCTGATAGGCTGATGATTTCTATAGCAAGTTAATATTTTATTATAGTGTATATTATCCCAAAGGTGAGGTAAGGTAATACAAACAATCATTCCTCTTGCCCATTCA